TTCCTTTTCCTTCCTTCCTTTTCCTTCCTTCCTTTTCCTTCCTTCCTTTTCCTTCCTTCCTTTTCCTTCCTTCCTTTTCCTTCCTTCCTTTTCCTTCCTTCCTTTTTTTCCTTCCTTCCTTCCTTCCTTCCTTCCTTTTCCTTCCTTCCATCCAACACATCTCCGTCGACCACTCAGTCTCGCTCCCCCGCGGCGAGTGCAACTAAACGAGAACCCAAGCATCGAAGATGCTTTTGGGAAAAACAATGGTTTCATTTAGGGGAGTGTTTTTATTTGTGAACGGGGGATGGGATTAATGGAAAATCATGGGATAATGAGATGCAATGGAATATGAATGGACTATCACGGGATATTGGAGCCTGGTACCTTCTGGTCATCCCCGTCATCCCGGTGGCTGGGAAATCCCGGCCCAGCCGAGGCAGGGTATCCCCCAAATCCAGTGGTCAATCATCATTTTCCATCTTAACATAGCCACTATCCACATGGTTTGAAAAGCCAGTATGTTGTCTGTTTGTGAATCTCAAAAGATCTCAAAAGTACGTGGGGTATCGAAATATGTATATATATAAACATAATTATATATAATTATATATATATCTATATATATATATATACATAATTATATATATATATAATGTATAGTGCAAATACATAACATCGACATCTGCATCTTTTTGTTTTGTGTTGCTTTCTCACCCTTTGTTCAACCTGGGATGGTTGGTTCATCATCGACAGCCCGCAGGTTGGGGCAGCAAACCGATGGGACAAAAGTCGGACTACCCTCGAAATGTGGGTTTCGAAAAGCAGTTGGGAGCCCCAATGGCGACTGCTGGGTTTCACATGGTTTCGGCGTGGGAGGTTGGATCAATGAGTCAATGGCCATTCCAGGAACCGATTTATTGGAGGTACCTACCATATATGAGGCCTATATAAGGCCTATGTACGGGAATATCCCCCAAAAATATGGCCTTATATGGTACAGTACCTCCTTTTTAGGATCCTGGAATTCCCATTGAATGAGTGAGATATCGTGATTCTCAAGAGTTTCTTGATGTTTCTTGCTATCACACCCAGTGGTACCTAAATCATCTGGAGATGAATAGTCAGTGTAGATTGATGGGCTGAATCAAGAACGGATTTTTCGACATATGCTCCACGCATAAACGATCTCACTTGCCCATCCTCTGAGCAGTGGCTGCTAAACCCATCTAAACCCATGTTGGCCTGTTGGTTGATGGTTAAAGGGGGTTATACTTTCCAATGCCGTTCGCCACCAATTTGGGGATACAGCTGACTGAAAACATCTGGGGTATCTATCTAACGATGTCGCATCTTTCTATCTAGTCTTTCCAGAATATTTTCTATCTTATCCATCTTCTCAATGTATTGTCTATAGTCCTATAGTTCATAATTGTATTGCTAACTCGGAATCACATATTGAAACTAGCAACACCCACTTTATGCCCCCAAAAATCCACCACATGGCCTATCCCACTTTTGGAACAGCTTACCTCGGGGAACGCGCAGGTTTTACCGAAAATATGGCACCGTCTACAACCAGCCCAACAAGACCTATGCAACTTGGAGTTACGAAAGTACGGGCATGACGTTTTCCCACGGCCTTCCCCATCGCTTCAGATGGTGTTGATTCTACTTGGATGTACATATTTCAGTTTTTGTTTGTTTTTTTTTTGTATTGGCATATATTCGAATATTCAAATAATGTAATATATAATGTCTTTTAAGCTTTAATATGTAGTATATAATATAATATCGTATAATAAAAGATATAACAGTTCATTTTTATTTAATCTATATTATTTGATATACGATTTAAGATATGAAACAAATCTGTAATATTAAACATTTAATATAGAACCTATATATATAATTTATATTGTTTGATATGATTTATATATATACATATGAATTTAAATATAAGATTGATATTTAATATATGATCTTTGATATATATATAATAATAATAATATAATAATATTTCTTTGAACTACACAATATTTAATATACAATATATATAATGTGTAGTTTACAATATATATATATATAACATAATAGATATATAAATATATATAATATTTAATGAATAATAGACATATTACATATTTATATCTCGAAATGGGTGATACCAAAAATCATCCAACATGACCATCGCAAGCGTGGTTTTTGTCATATACCTTAGTACCACTTGGCGACTGGTGATCGACCCCCAAGAAATAGGAGGGATTTGATGGAGGGTTTGATGGTTAGAATGGCAAGTCTTTGTTGGTACCTGATGATAATTTGATGATAATGGTATGTCAGCACCTGATGATACCTGATAATTTTATAAATGGGATTTACCAAGCAGCTGATTATACCTGATGAAATCAGTTTTGTGGTTGCGCAAAAACAAGTCGAACCAGGAACTTTGGCTGATTTATTCGGAGGGCATCCCCGGAAAAACTGTATGAAATATGTCACTAAGTCTCAAACAGATACAAAATCATACTAAGAATCAGGAACCGCAAGTAAACCATGCACTGATGAGTCTGGGGTTGGCAAGACCAAATTCTTGAGCTACAGATATACCACATCGTGGTGAAAATACCATCATGAAACCCGCAGCTGATTGATGAAACAGTGAGTGGAATATCCTAGAATTCTACTGGAATGGAAAACATTTTTTTTTTTTAAGTCTAGATACTTGTAAACAGAAACATCCCTTGAAAATCATAGAAAAGTCACAAAACATGTTATCTATATTATAAAATATGTGTTTGGAACATAACATTGAGGATTTTATAATTGTTTGATTTCATCCATGTAAGAAACAAAGCACACCTATTTAGAAACATGAGTAAGAATAACTACCCTGGGGCAAACCAAAATAGACGTGGAAAATCATAATTTCAATAGGTAAATTCATCCACATATGGGCAATTTCCCATATCTATGTTAGTTTACCCTAGGGTACTATTTTCAGAAGCAACCATGGTGGGCTGGAAAATCGTCAAATTTGCAAGTGGTTCATGATGGTTTTCAACGGGACATTGGGGGTGTTTCATTTACATTGACTTATCATCCTTTGCACTCAGTGCTTTTACAAGAGCAACATTTTTTGGACTTTTGGACAGAACGGCATTTCTTGTGATTTTCGGCAATGCCCTTTTCTGGCCGCGACATGCCAAAACGTAGGTACTGTAAATATTCCATACAGCATCTGGGATTGTTCCTTTCTGTGTTTCCCAGAACCACCAACATTTTGACATGTTTTGTCAACGGCTGAAAAACAACAGTCTCGCGTCCGATCTGTTGGTGTGAATCTTCTTCAAATTCTCCAGGTTTGAAAGGATGGTTCCAATGGAGTGCAAATAATGGGAACTTCTCAGAAATGCTCAGGGGATGTTTCTGGCTGAATGATAGAGACCTAAGACATTTAAGTCACGGTGTCGGACAGTGTCGCAACCGAAGATGTTTCATCATAATATGTTGCGGGTTTTTTTAAACATTTTTAAACAAGGTAGCCCCAAAATCATTCAAAAGGTAGACCATGTTAGATATTTCAGTATTGAAACCTATGGTGAACTGGATGATGTCATCTGGAAATGGCGAACTCGCCAGTTCCAAGGTTGGAGGATGGTCCTGGGATCCATCCAAATCAGACAGGACCGTCGTTGAAGTCGTTGAAGTCTGCATAGACCCAACAAAAATGAGGATGTTATACCAACAAATCTGAGTTTCACTGATTAAGTCTGGAGATTTTTATAGATTTTTCATGGTTTTTGAATGATTTAGCTGTGTAGAATGCTGGTTGTTTCAAATATGCTGCTGCATTGGTGATTTTTAGGCCCTGTCTGACGTTGAACCAAGCCAACTCCCTGTGTGATGAAAAAAATCCCAGATTTAGGATGTGATCCTTCGAACCTGTGAAACATCCTAGCGGTGTTTACAATTACCCTCTGGTTATGTCAAAATAGCTATTGAAAATTGCCCACAGAAATAGATGGTTTACCTATTCAAAATGGTGATTTTCCATGGCTATGTTAAATAACCAGAGGGTAAGTTTTACAGCGTATTTGCCATTCCATTCTTGTTTCTTTCGGTGATTATGCCTCAAAATTTGTGTACCCCTCAAACATTTGTTGGCTTAATATAGTCTAGCCAACAACTAGGATATTGCCCTAGCTTACCTATGATATTCCCGACATTCTAAGATTTGAATGTGGCGGTTTCTGAAAAAATATCCGAACATAGGGGTACCCATATACCCCTAAATCATCAATTTTTTAGTCGGATGTTCCATGAAATAAACCAACCAGCTACTGGGGATGCCATTGTTGGAGCCATAATGACGTCAGTCCGGAGGAGCACCAACATTGCGCCGGGCGACTGGCGTCCGGGAGGTCAGTATGATAAGAATGTCAAGTGGCAGGTGCGGCTGCCGATGGCGGTTCCGGCTGGCGGCTTCCATTAATCCGGATCCCCAGTCATGGAAAATCCATTGGGAACATGGATGACTGGGGCTACCCCTATGAAATCCATGGATTGGAAAGCTACCCATTGCTGAATCCAACATGAACATATTTGGTTGGGATTTGAGCAGCTAAAATTGGACGTTTAAGCAACAAACATACGATGGTTTAGCGGTTTAGTCGATGAAGATGGTAGGCGACAAAACAGGCGGTTAGTATGGTTGAAGGGCAACTTGTAAAATCGTGTGACTGTTTGGGTTATCCATCTTTCCTTGCACTACTTGAGCCAGAGATCACTATAAATCACTGTTCAGGTTGAACAAAAAAGGTTATACCACCTGTTTGATTGTGGATAATGGTGGATACATCATTTCTTACTTGGCCTCACTGTGGGTTAATATCGAAGCGGCTCGCTGGATGTCGCGTTATCCGCCATGACTGGAGAAATGACCTGCGGAAGATGTTCTACCCTCTGGTTGTGTCAAAATAGCTATTGAACATGGCCATTGAAATAGTGAGTTTTCCCAGCTATAAAATGGTGATTTTACATAGTTATGTAAACGTTTACCAGAGGGTATCGCCCCTGAATGGCCGCAAATCCACGCTTTAATTGGGAAAAATCGAGAGAAAGAATCATGTCAACTAGAAACATATATGAAGATTGCTGGCTTCCCAACTGGAAACGGTTTTGATTGCTTAGCCGTAAAACTGGATCGTGGGGAATCTCCCATCCAACAGAAAAGATCCTGATATCTACCCTAGGCTAGGAAAATGACCTGCAAATGGCGGGGTTTTCCATGGTTTTTCCACAATTTGTTGCTCTTGTGGATAGACGTCCCAGTTGTTTTCACCTGCAAAGGTGTCTCCCCATCTTGTTGTAAAGAATCACATGTGCTACTTTTCTTTTCCGCTGCTTTGCTGAAAAACAAAGCATTGCGCCAAGTTCAAGTTCGATCATAAAAAGGGGTCAAACATCACCTCAATCACCTCAACAATCAAAGTGATCAGAGTGGAGGCAAAGCCCGCATATTTGTTGCTTAAACCTTCGTGATTGATGGTTAAATCCCCCCATGGTTGCACAGGTTGCCACCTGGATAAGCTCTATTATTCCAATTCCAACTTTCCAACTTATGAAGGTTATCACCATGATTATAACCACTGTATACCCAATTCATACACTACATTACACTACTAATATCCATTATTTGTTAAATCCCGATCAAATTGTTGCTTTAAAGCCCCATTCTACCCCCATTGATAGTTTTCCACTATAAACCCATTGTAGATCTCATGAAATACAGCGATTTCCCGGTACCGCAGGCCACCTTCCAGCCCGACAGCATCGACATCAAACGGGCGCGCAAGAAGGCCGCACGCGAGGCCATGATTTGTGTTTCTTGGGAGGATGGGATTGTTATCGATTTTATGATGTCATGTATTTTATGGGGTTGCTATGTCCATGTATGTATAAGTTTATATATAATATGTATATGTACACAATTGTACACACATATGCTGGTATAAGTGTACTATGTACCTGTTTGATTTTGATGTTTGAGTTGCTTTTACACACTTACTGTGGACGCAGCAAAACCAAAAATGGATTTCATCAGATTTTTCTTTTGAATCTAAAGGATAAGTAAGGATTTCAATTCATCTCAATTTACTTTCAATTGATTTTCCTTTTAAAGCTAAAGGAGAAGTAAAGATTTCAATTGAAATCAGTTTACTTTCAATTGATTTGTTCTTTTAAATCTAAAGGAGCAGAGGATTTTAATTGAAATCAATTTGCGCTCAATTGATTTTCCTGTTAAATCTAAAGGATAAGTAAGGATTTCAATTGAATTGGGGTGCGCATGCACATTCTTTGGGGGGCAACCCACGTAAAGGGGTACCCGTTAAAAGCTTCTCAACATTTTGTTTAATCAAGAAAGTAATAAGCAAAATGCCGTTTTTGTTCATTCATATTTTTTGAATATTCCTAGATTTTGGAGATACTGTGCCTTGAATCTCTTCAATATATCTATCTATCTATTTTTCTATCTATCTATCTAGCTCGTATCCTATCCTATCCTATCTATTGATCTATCTAATCTAATCTAAGCAAAGCAAAGCAAAGCTAATCTAATCTAATCTATCTAATCTATCTAATCTATCTAATCTATCTAACTTTTCAAATCTATCTAATCTATCTAATCTATCTAATCTATCCAATCTATCTAGTCTATCTAATATATCTATCTATCGGTCTTATCTTATCTTATCTTGTCCTATCCTATCCTATCATATCATATTCATTTTTGTATCCTATCGTATTCTGTCCTTTTATGTATCTAATCTATCTATCTATCTATCTGTCTATCTATTTGTCTATCTATATATCTATCTATCTACCTATCTATCTATCTATCTACCTATCTATCTATCTATCCATCTATCTATCTATCCATCTATCTATCTACCTATCTGTCTGTCAGTCTATCTATCTATCCATCCATCTATCTATCTACCTATCTATCTATCTATCTATCTACATATCTACGTATCTACCTGCCTACCTACTTATCTATCTATCTATCTATCCATCTATCTTTCTTTCTTTATTTACTTCTTTCTTATCTATCTTATCTATTAAATTTATCTAATCTATCTAAGCGATCTTACCTATCTTATCTGTCTTATCCATGTTATCTCTCTTATCTATATTATATATAGATTATCTATGTTATCAATCTTGTCTATCTTATCTAGCTTGTCTATCTTATCTATCTTATCTATTGTGTCTATCTTGTCTATATTGTCGATCTTGTCTATCTTATCTATCGTATCTATATTATCTATCGTATCCATTGTATCTATCGTATCTATCTTCTCTATCTTATCTATCATATCTATCTTATGTTTCTTATATTCATTTTTGATTTTATCTATCTTGTCTATTGTTTCTATATTTTCTATCGTATCTATCGTATCTATCTTATCTATCATATCTTTCTTATCTATATAATCTATGTTATCTATCTATCGTATCTATATTTATCTTATCTATATCTTTTTTTATCTATCTATTTATCTTATCTATCTATCTTATCTACATATCGTATCTATCTATTGTATCCATCTATCGTATCTGTCTATATTCTCTATCTATTCTATTTATTTTATCTTTCTACCTATCTATCTAATCTATCTATCTATCCATCTATCTATCTCTATCTCTTTCTCTTTCTCTATCTCTATCTATCTCTATCTATCTCTATCTATCTCTATCTATCTCTATCTCTTTCTCTATTTCTTTCTCTATTTCTTTCTCTATCTCTGTCCATCTCTATCTATCTCTATATATCTCTATCTATCTCTATCTATCTCTATCTATCTCTATCTATCTATCTCTATCTATCTCTATCTATCTCTATCTCTATCTCTATCTATCTCTCTTTCTATCTCTATCTATCTATCTATCTATTTATTTATCTATCTATCTCTCTCTCTCTCTCTATCTCTCTATCTCTATATCTCTCTATCTCTCTATCTCTCTATCTCTCTATCTATCTATCTATCTAATCTAATCTGATCTAACCTAACCTAACCTAACCTAATCTAATCTAATCTAGTCTATCTATCTATTTATTTATGTATATATATATGTCTTGTCATGACTATAAAGCGCCTCCATTGACTTTGAACCATCAGGTCAGAAACATCAGAGCCAAGTCATTTTCTCACCACCAAGAAAAGTAGGATTTTCCCGAATGTTGTTTTGTTTTTTCAAATAGGTGGTTACCACCCATATTGATTAATAGGCGACCAACCCAAATTAGTATTGCCAAAGATTTTTTGGAATGTGGGTGTTGGTTAATCCGGGTTTCTTATTAATATGAACTTAGCATCAACATCCACATAGAAATACATGACATGTAAACCATACTTTGAGAAGAAGCAGTTGGATGGATTGAGTCCGTTGGCTCCAGTTGACACCAGGTAGAGTTTCTTCGGGGTTGATGTGCCTTCATGGGATAAAAAAACCAATGACACGAATCACCATTTTGGATGATTTCTAACCCATCCTCAAATACACCAGGGCTATAACTGGTTCAAATAGGGCTAATATATGGTTCATATATGATTAATATATGGCCAAAACTAGCTCAATTTAGCATGTATGACTGGTTCAACTCTCTCTTTGTGTTGGTTTAATCCCTACTTTCGGATGTCACTTGTTCACTCCCTTGCGAAATAAATGGCAATTTACCCCCGTCGAAACGTTCAAGCGCCAGTGATGATTCATCCCCATGGTAGGCAAAAAGTTGAAGTTGGCTATGACCTCACTTGATTGCTAAGCGTCACTTACTAACATTTACTAACCACTTACTTACTAACCACATACCAACCACTTACTAACCACAATGAAATGATGATCTCCAAGTATATGGATGTATCCAAGGTATATTACTATTATCTACTATTAATGTACTTGTTGATCCCGATCTCCATGTCAGGCAGCTACCTCCACAGAGGCCATGGCTTTGAAGGCGACCGAATCCTCCAATGCCCGGTATGGGATAGGGGTTATAGGGCTAATATATGTTTCATATATGGTTAATATGCAGATGTTAACCAGTCAAATGGAGCTTAGAACTCCATTTAATGGTTTTATTCCTTTTCTTGTTGCCATTTGAATCAGCAGTTTTTGCAGGTTAAACCCAATGTTAGTGCTTCTTGAATTCCACTGTTTAATCTGATTATATTGTGTGAAGTCACGTTAAGTTATTTGTTTGTTACATCACGTGATGTGGTCATGTTAAGTTCCAAACCAAATGTTGAGTCATGTCAAGTACCCATAAAAAAATGAATGTTAAGGCATACTAAGGTATATGTTTGATTGTGAAATGTGTTCAATATATGCTAAATCTATGTAAACTACCATATTTAATTTATATGTCAAATATGTAAAGTCATATGTAAAGTCATATAAGTTTCTTGGTCATTTAAATCATTTTGTTTGTTTCGTCATGTTTAACTCGTCCCCGTTCAGAAAACAAAAAAAAGCGCGCCGTGCTGCTGCCACTGCTGCCAGGTCTTGGCGCCATCAACTTCGTACGGACTCTTCGTTGGTGCTGCGTACGCTGACCGTGACAACATTTCACGGAGACGGAGAGACATCCTGGGAAACTATGGGAAATTAGAATCATCTTCGCTAACAGCATGTTTTTTTTTAAATAACCATATTCTAGCCACTTCAGGATTATATATATATTTAATACATTTATATATCTCTCTAGACTCTACCAACGATAATGGATTACATGATGGGAACTATGAGGATATAATGAGCAAGCAAACAGAATAATTAACATACCTAGAATGGTGAGTGACAAAGATACCTAGACCCTCGAAGTACCCATAAACATTGGTAACAGTACTAGAATTCTGCGTTGCATTTTTTCAATGGGTAGTTGACGGGCCTAAGTAGATACAGTACATAGCAACGATAATGGATGTATTCTGGGAAATTATGCGGATATAATGGGGACATATGTGATCTGATCGTCAACATTTGGAATTAATCAACCGTTTTATCTTAATAATGGAATTGGGAACATCTAGGGTATATAAAATCTCTAAGGGTCAGTCTTTTGGGTCGGTTTTATGTGTCTTGGAACCTTGGGTATCGGTATTGGTGAAGTTTCCATCAGAGTTGGCGATTCCAAAGTATGGAGCCCCAAGTTGTGATATGTGAGTTTTGAATCCGTCTAACTATAGATGTATCCGCTATAAATACCATTTCTCCTAGTTCTTTCAACCAACTGAACCTATTTTGCCAAGGGCCCCTTGGGAGCCTGGAAACCAAAATCGATGTTGATGTTCCGCTTCCGGACAAACCAGTTTGAGACTATGGCAGCACAATATCCCATGGTTTAAAAGCTCATTTTACCTACACACGTAGCCATTTGGGGGTATACCAAATACCGTAAAACCACATTTTCAGGCACACCCATATAGAAGAGCGGAACACCACATTGAACTCTTGCTTTGTTATGGACACTTCGGGGTGAAGAAGAGCACATTCCTGTTGGTGAATTGGTGAAGTGAGCATGGTTGTCGATAGTGTTTTTGTGCCATGGTCAAACCTTGGGTACCCAATGTTGGGGGATAGTCACCAATTCATGAGGAAGGATTACCCTCTGGTAAACTAACATTGTTATTGAACACGGCCATTTATGGTTGATTTACCCATTAAAAACGGTGATTTTCCATAGTTTTCCATGTGTTCACCAGGGGGTAATCGCCATAATGTTGGGTTCCCATGGCATTTCAACACCGAAAATGATGACTGGCCAGTGCATTTTGGGGGTACCATATCTTCAGACAAACCCAGAACTTACAAGGTTTTAAAATCCTGTCTTCGGTCATATTGAGTCATAGTAACTCGCATTAAGTCATCATATCAAGTCATATGAATCATATGAAGGCTTCCTGAAATGGGGTACCCTTAGATCATCAATTTTCATGGGATTTTCCATGAAATAAACCATCCAGCTAGTGGGGTACACCCAGCCACTAGGAAACCTCCATATGAAGTCATAGTAAGTCAACGTTAAGTCGTATTAAGTCACAATAAGTCGCATGAAGTCGTATTAAGTCATATTATTGCGTTAAGACGTCATATTAAGTCTCTATGTTTGAATCATATTAAGTCATCATGAAAGTCATATCATTCATTTATGATAGGATTTCCCCATATAAACCATCCATAAATGGGTGTACCACCCATTTATGGAACCCCCTATATGAAGTCCCTATGTTTGCTCAGTCTGCATCCTTGCCAGGCTGCTTGGTCTTGCAGCTTCGCGAGGTGGAACGTGAGAGCATAAAAACGGTCGCCATAGCTTGGTTCACCCAATTTATCAAATGGGATACGTGCTTCGTAAGCATAGTGAGTAACCCATAGAAATCATAGAAATCATGAGATTCAAGCCATAGAAGTGAGTAACCATAGTCAGTAACCATAAGTTATAACTGTTATAAGCCATAGACATATTATGCAAAAACGTGTACATATATAATATGTATGTATGTATGTATGGTATGGTATGGTATGGTATGGTATGTTATGGTATGGTATGGTATGGTATGGTATGGTATGTATGTAATGTAATGTAATGTAATGTAATGTAATGTAATGTAATGTAATGTAATGTAATGTAATGTAATGTATGTAATGTATGTAATGTATGTAATGTATGTAGTGTATGTAATGTATGTAGTGTATGTAATGTATGTAATGTATGTAATGTATGTAGTGTATGTAATGTATGTAGTGTATGTAATGTATGTAATGTATGTAATGTATGTAATGTATGTAATGTATGTAATGTATGTAATGTATGTAATGTATGTAATGTATGTAATGTATGTAATGTATGTAATGTAATGTATGTAATGTATGTAATGTATGTAATGTATGTAATGTATGTAATGTATGTAATGTATGTAATGTATGTAATGTATGTAATGTATGTAATGTATGTAATGTATGTAATGTATGTAATGTATGTAATGTAATGTATGTAATGTATGTAATGTATGTAATGTATGTAATGTATGTAATGTATGTAATGTATGTAATGTATGTAATGTATGTAATGTATGTAATGTATGTAATGTATGTAATGTATGTAATGTATGTAATGTATGTAATGTATGTAATGTATGTAATGTATGCAATGTATGCAATGTATGTATGTATTTATGTATGTGTGTAATGTATGTATGTATGTATGTATGTATGTATGTATGTATGTATGTATGTATGTATGTATGTAATGTATGTAATGTAATGTAATGTATGTAATGTATGTAATGTATGTAATGTATGTAATGTATGTAATGTATGCAATGTATGCAATGTATGTATGTATTTATGTATGTGTGTAATGTATGTATGTATGTATGTATGTATGTATGTATGTATGTATATATATGTATGTATATGTCTGTATGTATGTATGTATATATATGTATGTATATGTATGTATGTATGTATGTATGTATGTATGTATGTATATGTATGTATATGTATGTATATGTATGTATATGTATGTATATGTATGTATATGTATGTATATGTATGTATATGTATGTATATGTATGTATATGTATGTATATGTATGTATATGTATGTTTATGTATGTTTATGTATGTATATGTATGTATATGTATGTATATGTATGTATATGTATGTATATGTATGTAGATGTATGTATATGTATGTATATGTATGTATATGTATGTATATGTATGTATATGTATGTATATGTATGTATATGTATGTATATGTATGTATATGTATGTATATGTATGTATATGTATGTACATGTCTGATTATGTCAGTCTGTATATTGATATATTGATATATTGATATATTGATATGTGGATATATTGATATATTGGATAATATACCCCCTACAATCATCAACCAACAGGGGTATTGAACACTGTGCATTTGCTGTTCACAACTAGTTTATCACCATGCACAATGTCGCCAAAACAATGCCACACATCCCTTGATGCTAAAATGATGCTCAATGAATGTCAATCCATTAGTTAATGATTCGAACTCAATCTTTTTTGGTGAAATTCCCATGCGCCAACACATCAATTACAGTTGAATGTGGCTGATGCAATCTAAAATATGTGCACCTGGTTTTCTTAGTGCCCTATGTTTGATGCTTGAATCATTATGTTTGTTGATTAAATCACCATTTTTATATGGGGTAAATCACCATGTTTCATCCTTAAATCACAATTTTTGATGATTAAATTGCCATTTTTCATGGTTAAACCACCATTTTTCATGGTTAAATCACCATTTGTCATGGTTAAATAATCACCATTTTTTATGGTTAAATCACAATTTTTCATGGTTAAATCACATTTTTTCATGGTTAAATCACCATTTGTCATGGTTAAATCACAATTTTTCTTGACGAAATCCCCAGTCTTTTCCCAACCGCCAGGCTTCTCCGGGCGACGCTGACAGAAAAACCTGCGTTGCAGAGGGATGCCACGGCGAAGCGGCGATGTGATCCATTGAAAGGTATGGAAAGAAAAATCCCAACAGGAAGGAACTCTCTCTCTCTCTATATATATATATAATATGATTATATATATATTATATATATTATATATATATGATATATATATATGTATATGATATATATATATATATATATCCATATAATATGTGATCCCTTGGAATATCGAATAAGTTAATCTTATCCACCATAAAATTTAGTGAGCTATTAGTGTCTTTACCACATTATACCTACCTTTTGGAGGACTCTTTCTGCATAGATAGCTTAAGGGAAAACTGTAGCAGGAAACCCCTATTATTGAGTCGGAAAAATTGTGTTTCCTGCAGTTTTCCTCTAAACCAATTTCATTGATCAGTGGGAAGTTTACCCATACCATCCATGCATGGTTCAGATTTACTCATACCTTTGTTGCGGGGTAAATTTGGGGATTTACATCATATCCACCTGGGATAGGGACCACACCGGCCTACGGTAAGCCGTAGATCATAAGATTGGGGGATGCAGGCTACCCTCATTGCTGGCGAAGAACTTGGATAAACCTCGCACGTAGATTCGTTTTTCGCCTATTCTGACAGCTCTGTTTCAATGTTCACCCAGGTGTCCTCAGAGATTGTGAGTCCAGGGTCTATGTATAATGGGTTTGTCGGAAAACATAGGTTATACCAAGAATCCGCCTCGCAATCATGATACCCCGGTCACAAGGCTATTTTAGGGTATGATTTCCATGGTTATTCCTTTATGTCATTTGCATAGAAAGGGCTCCGCAAAAAGATTTAGAACTGGTTGGTGGTTTCAAACAGTTTTTATTTTCCATAATATATGGGATGTCATCCTTCCCATTGACGAAGTCCATCATTTTTCAAGATGGTTATTATAACACCACCAAGCAGTATACCATCTTGTGTCTCCAGGATGTTAGTTCCATCGTGTTTTCCCAGGTTTCCAACTTTTCTATCGTCCCATCGTCCCTGCGAGAGAGAACGACCGCACGCTTCACCGCGGCTGCCGGCTTTCACCAGTTCTCGCCCAGCAGACGCTCTGCGCCCCAAAAACCACTGCAGCTGCGGATGTCGGAGAGCTAAAAGTGGTGGATTTAACCAATAAATGCAGCTTCAACCATGCTCAATCAAGAATATGAGGATTGATATTGGTGATATTAGCCTAAGATGATATTTGGATTCAGACCTGAACATAGGTATGTACCCCCAAGTTATGGCCAATTTAATCGGGAACTGGTGATAAACCATGGGTAGGCTTGGGGTAGGCTGCTCATCCGGCTATGTTGTGTTGGAGTTTTGGGAGTAGCACATCTTGTAAGGTATAGTTAGGGTGTACCCTCTGGTAAACGTTTACATAACTATGGAAAATCACCATGTTCAATGGCTAAATCAACAATTTCTACAGCCATTTTCAATAGCTGTTTGTATGTTTACCAGTTCAAACAGACGTATCCCAGGAGAAGTTACAATACACATGTCATCGGTTTACACACCGGTAAATCTAAAATAGCTATGATAAAAATGGCCATATAAATAGATGATTTAGCTATTGAACATAGTGATTTTCCATAGCTATTTGACTTATATGCTAGTGGTTGTAGCGGCTCAACATCTGAGGAGATCCTCACCCCACCGCAAGATCAACCGAAGATTCCTAGGGAAAGTGACGTTGAACCATGGCAACTCCAATAGGATAAGGTCTCGTCGTTTCATTCTTGCTATAGCTGCTCTCTCTATATGTATATATACATACATACATACATACATACATACATACATACATACATACATACATACATACATACATACATACATACATACATACATACATACATACATACATACATACATACATACATACATACATACATACATACATACATACATACATACATACATACATACATACATACATACATACATACATACATACATACATACATACATGACATACATGTTTACATGACAACCGGGTTTGACCCAGAGTTTTCGTGTCAGAACAGCACTCATGTCAGTTTTTGCATCCACCTTTTCATAGTAGCTGGTTGATCAGCAATAAACAACTCGTGGTTGGTGCTGGTTCATGAAGCCAAGCGAAGCAGGATAGGATATGTCCTACATGTTTTTCGATGTTTCTGAAGGGTTCTGACTGCTCAGCTATCTGATCTGAGCTGATCTGTCGCCGTTTCAGTGGATCAACCACCACTTGAACCTTTCCATACTCTGGGCCTGGGATTCGCAGGCTGCCTTCCAGTGGTTTTTCTCCGCTGTTGCCATGAGATGACGGAAGGGATGGAGACGATTGAAACACGCAACGCCGACGGTGCCAGGTGCAATGGTCCAATGGTGAGTTGTCCAATGATGATTTGAACATATCTATATTATAGGTAATAATGAGAAATTTACATGTCTGATTTTTTAAACACGAAGAAACTGCAGAGTTTCTGACAGAATGGTCAAATTTCATAGTTACATTTCATAGTTACAACAGTAATGACAGTAATGGTTATTCTCATTGTCATTACTGTTGTGATTCTCAATTATGGGCTGACAGTTTTCAGGTTCTGACAGAATGGTGAATCACGGGGAGTCTATGGATGACCGATCTTCCCGATGTCCACTGGGGGATGTGTTCATCTACCCTCTGGTAAACTAACAGTTTGCTATTGAAAATGGCCATAGAAATAGTGGATCTACCCAGCTATAACATGGTGATTTTCCAGTTCGTTACGTAAACGTTTACCGGAGGGTAGATCATTGTCCCATTGTCCTTTTTTTCGGGGTAACAGCGCCCATGGGTTTTCCACATCTTCAACGCCATAGCATCGCCATGGGGATGGTTCGGGGATTTCCCAGCCATGTTGACACCGCAGGGTACAATTTGTAGCAATGATTGCCATAGGGCCTATAGGGTCTCACGAATTCTTCCATTTTCACAGGCTAAAGATATGATTAAAAACTACTGGATGTCCGACCTTTCTGGCCTGTGGCTATGATGGCTGCGTTGTTGGAGCATCATCATGCTTGGTCTCGCGTTGAATGGGATCGTTTGGGGTTGGGGTTGGGGTTGAACCATAACCCCACTTCAGGGCACCAGGGTTGGCTTTCAAAACCACGGAGCAACAAACATGTTAGGCTTCTGAATTATATTGATTGATTGTGATTTACACAAAATGGTAAAGCCTTCAAGTTGAGTGTCGTCATCATTGTCATTGATCAGATTGACTCTTGTTTTGGTGAGTGCTAATCATCAGTTTGTTTTATTTAGCGCACGCTTGCTAAATGAACATTTACCGACCAAAATTGGTGAATATGATTGATTTTTTTCCTTGTAATGACACATTCACCTACCAACAATTGGTGAATATGAATCAATCTATTCCAAACATCTGCCGGCTTTCAATGCCACATCTATCGGCCCCCCGCACCCTCCCCACCGGTTGATGCCGACGCCGACGCGACGTAGGAAGGATGCCACGGAATCGACTCAGCTGCTGAAGCAACGCAACAATGGGACGGCCACAGGCGCCGCCGTGGGCCGTGATGGACAAGGTGGTGCCCACTGGTGTCACAACCATGGTGCTGGAATAAATATTTATACCTGGGCCATTGTTAGGGGTAAATTTCGGGAAAATGTAGGTAAATATTCCAGCACCATGGAGCATCTGGGAGTTGTTATCAATTACCCTAATAAACCAACATAAACCAACCAGTGAACTAATCGGTGAACATTTCAGATGATTTCTACGACAAACAATTGCTGGTTTGGATGGATTTGCAATGACGGTTAGTAAGGGTAACTATCCCAAAATAACATTATTTATCATTATTTATCCTTATTCCAGGTTGTTGAGCTATGGCAAATTTACCCAGATTCATGGTTACTTAATGTCCCATTCTGGGGTGTTGAAGTATCACCTTTAATATGGAACATAGCCCATTTAGTTCGATGATTTTTGATGATTTAGCTTTTAAGAATGGTGATTTTCCATCGCGATGCGTTAAACATTACCAGATACGGTAGAATTATACATTTATATTACATTTATGAGATAGTGATGTTGAATTTTCCCAGTCGGCTCAAAAACTTCATTTTTTTATAGATGTACAAAGGCCATGCGACTCGCCTCCACACACGGTCTCAACGGTCTGTTTCCGGTCTGTTTCTGGCTCCAGGCGCTCAACTGATGCTGAACATCGTGGTTTGTGGCTTGGGCACCGGACTCTTCACCCTGCCCTGGAGCGTGGCAGGCAGGGTTCACTGCGTGGGGTGATGGTATTTATATGGTGTTTATATGTGTTTATATGGTATTTACTGGGATTTATATGGCTTTTATCGGTTTCAGGTGACTTTTACCCTTCGATCTTTGGTTATTTGTTACAGTTTGCGAACTGGAAGCCATGGGAAAGTGATGGAACATCGGCCCATTTAGCCCATTTGTTCGATGATTTACATTGATTTATCAATTGAAAATGGTGATTTCCATAGCACACTGTTAAATTACCAAACGCACAATTCTGATTAATTAAGCTAGTAAACAAGCGGAGTTAATTAGCTAAAAACCATATACTTAACCTGCAATAAATGGTGGTTTCTTGAAATGGAGGACGACAACACTCCCAAAGTTTTTTTTTTGACAGGGAGGCCTTGGGCTTGGGTACCTGAGTCAAGCTCAAGAAACACCCCAATTTGGGTATCCCAAAACGTAAGCTGGCCCTCATGTTTTGGATCTATGACTGAGCTGAAAGACGGGCCTGTTCGCTTCACCATGGTTCGTATCTTAAGTGTACCACAGGGTACCAGGTGGAGATGATAAGGGTATATAAGGCTATGATCTGCCTCGTTGATTGGAAGTCAAAAACTATCCAGTGGTGAACGGAGGGGTACCCCATGAAATGGGGAGTTGGAGCTAAGATTTTCCTACAGAGATTATGACCCAGAATGTTTGAAGCCCAGACATAAGTGGTTGGTGGTTTCAAGTTTCAAACATTTTTTTATTTTCCATAATATATGGGATAATCCGTCCCATTGACTAATATTTTCCAAGATGGTTAAAACCACCAACCAGACAACTTGCTGGTCTTTTTCTTGAGGGATTATGACAATTTTGCATGATAATGATTTATTATGATTAGACCAACAAAACAGGCATTGCACAACTGATTAGCCATCCATGTAGTGTGAGATCCCACAATTATCAACCAGTTGGGTGCGACAAGCTATACGCGAGAATAGACCACACATGTTAATTATTTGTGGGAAATCGTTGGTGCTTCTACACGATAGCTTCATTTTTAAAAAAATGGTTAACCACATTAAATCGGTACATATACATTATGTAGAACAAGCAATAATCTGGTTGGTGGTTTCAAACATTTTTTATTTTCCATAATATATGGGATGTCATCCTTCCCATTGACTTTCATATTTTTCAGAGGGGTAGGTATACCACCAATTAGATTATGTAGAACAAGCAATAATAATGCTTCTGACCAGTTTATTGTGGGTGATCCCATTTATGGTGGATTCCCATCACAGAATCCTGCGGAAATTTCCGGACTTTTCTGTTCGCAGCTATCACCTCCCTTGTTCCGAGGATGTGCATGATGTTCCCGTTCCTATGATATCTCCTCATTTCCCTGAGATGCCTATAACATGTCCATTCTTCCAATGATATGTCCATGATATCTCCAGAAATTTCACATTGAAGGTTTTGCAATTGATCTGGGGTCTCTGGAAATGGATTCTTGGATCTTTCCAAATATTATATATGTGTATATATATATATATGGTGGAATTGAATTGTATTATAGGTACCTTATTATTTCCCCCATGAGGGAACCAATTGGTTGATTAAATGGGTATCATCCCAGTATCGATTACGATTACTTTTTCTATCATATTCTTTGGATAAACAGGGGTCCACTACCATTTCCCTTAAAGGGTACCCGACCAATTGCTGGATTAAAATGGAATGGGTATCATCCCTTTATATGGTATGTACTATATCTATTTTTTTCAACCACGCTCATATTTCTTCTAGGGTGGTGCCCCCATATACCTTTGGTATAAAACCATGAATATTATCCCTGATGATCACTCTTTTATTCAAGTGCTCAATTTCCCCATTATTTCTACGTCTACATCAATTATCATTAAAATGCAATGTCGAATTATAAATTTTGTGAGGGTGCAGAAATCTGCACCTTGACTTAGGCAAAAAAAAATGACGATATCCTAGGTGCTTGGTGGGGTATTGCCTAAGTCAAGGTGCAGATTTCTGCACCTAGACTTAGGGAATACAGAGGTTATACCCTGGGATTTAGGGAAATAAATATGTTTTTTTTGCCGATGTCAGGGTGCAGAAATTTGCATGTGGACTTAGGAAACATCCTTATTATTATATTCTACCATGATTTTTTACGCAATGGATTCGGGGTCCTTCATTTTGAAAATTTAGGCATTTTATTTTTCCGATCGGAAAATAGGGTACCCTAAAATCTCATGGCTTGTCATACTTTTCCATGTTCAAGTTGCCCCAACTTGGACATCCCCTAGTTATATCTAGTATGACAATATCTCCCGATATTTTTGTCCGTTGACGTTCCCAAGTACATCCCCCTTGTTGCATCTTTTGATAGATGGGAAGTCTTTTGACACACCCCATGTTTCGACAAACCATTGTGGGTCATGGGATCAAATCTCACACATTCTCAAACCGATAGGCCGATAGGCCTATATCCCAGTGTGATGTCCCTTAGGAATGACCCAAATTACATAGATCCCGCATAATTCTACCATAAATCCTAGTTATATCAGTTGCTCATAAATCAGCCGTAAATCCCATGTTGTTTTGACTTCAATCTCCAGTCTTCCTGTTTGTTGATCTTCTTTTTTTGCCTACCTGGGGCACCGGTGGAGCCTAGGGATGGGGGCCCAGCTGAGTGCGTCAGGTGCATCCTGTTTCCTGGGCGTGGCCATCGTTGCTTTCGTCCTGGCGCTGAATGCCCCTCAGACGCTGTGGCGATGGGGGTATTGAACTTGATGAACATTGGCCATATGATACGAATATAATACAATATATTTATATGCATATTTATTTATATATATATAAGTATATATATATATAATAATACAATGAATAAATAAATAAATAGATAATTTAAAACTATATATGCATGTTGTCAAATTGTGTTAAATCGTCATATTTCAATGTAGACATGTGTCCCGTAGACTACTCATATATATATATATATATGCACATACATATTACACAAATCTACTACAGATGCAATATAACACATACTGTAAATATCTGTATATCATATCATTTATCAATAACTATAATTTGAACATGTTTGAGCCAGGGATCACTAGCCCTTGGCGTTTGTTTCAGCTGCCACTTCTACATTTCCCAGCAATGATCACAGGAACACCCTCAACGACTGGATACATCTTGTTGAGTGGTGAGTTTATTCAACACTGAGAATAAGCGACCAGCATCTAAGCTTCCGAGGCCCAGGGGTCTTACTTGTGTTCACTCACCCACACTTACTGTAGTCACTTTCATGTTGAAACCCAGTGCATGGGAGGAGACTTCAAACGGACGGGTCAGTTGGTGGATCACCCTATGACTTCATGTTGGGTACAAAAAAAATTACCCATCCCCATGACGGGGGATAAACCCTAGTAAATGCTGGTTGAATGGGTTCATGCTTGGGTGCAAGTGGATGAATGTTCCATCATTATTCGTTCCAGTCACGATTTCTTTTTTTTTGTTTTAGTGTTTCTTAATACCTTCATGGTTATTAGATATTCCATGATATTCCCATATCTTTTGTTGATCCATATCCTCACTTTGGATCATTGTGTTGGTTGAAATGACTATCCCACAATATGCTCGAGACTGTGCTGATAATATTTACCTTACCTTACTTGGTGCCCCGTTACCGTTACAGTTTGTCTATAACTGTACAGCAACTGTAGTAATATATCATGATATATCTATAATATATATCTATAAATCCTATAAATCCTGTTTTTTTTCTTCGCTGCAAAGCAACGTTGCCGTTTTTTAGGGGGGCCCTTTCTGTAGATGACTGGTCCATTTGAATTGGGCAGTTCGGTAAAAATTGCACCATGAAACCCATGGAAAAACACGGAACTGCCATCAACACCACGTTTCAAACATAAAAAAACAAAGCAGAAAACAAAAAACAAAAAACAAAAATTAAATGGATCTGGGTCAAAATGGAAGACCTAGGGGACCACAGATGTTAGTCTAGTTTAGTATTCACCATCCAATTATTGGGGTACCTAATTTTGACCCATACCCAAATCTGGGAAAAATCCAGGTTTTGATTTGTTGCTTGTTTTTGTTCTTGTGATTCTTCCGGTCTGTTTGTGTTTTTGGTGAATTTGTTTTTGATTCTGTTTTTTGTTTTTTGATTGTTTGCTAAAAACCAATTTTCTCTGTTCAAGCCGGTGTCATAATGTTAGAGTCACCATTATCGAATACTTCACTTACGTCATCCCCTAGAAACTGTTGAAACTGTTTACGTATGTATATATATATATATTTGTTTATAGCTTCTGTTAATTATAAATCAGTGTAAATGCAGGTTGCGCATGTGACACATATACATTCATATTTCTAAATGATTACTTGTCAAAGTTTCTTTGAAGCAGGCATGGACCATTTTCCTGCTGGTGGAGGCAGCTGAGGCCTATCAGGTGCGACCTACAGTTGGGCGTCACTTGAACTTACCAGGCACAGCAACTTCCTCATTTTGTAATTTTTGTAGTGGCTAGACTGCTAGACCTGTTGGGACTTAACCACGACACATGAGCTACAGGCCAAAATTCACCGTAATGGAAAGTAGTATTCGAGACATCTTTTTTTTGGAAATTGAGCTGGGGCTTGGAAAACGATAATACACCCTTCAAAAAAGGATAATATGTGCTATATTCACAAGACCTGAAAAACGACAATACACTCTTCAAAAATTGATGACTTGGAGCTATATACTAAATATTGACCGTGGCCTACATGCCACAGCGGCAATTCGCACCTATATTCAGACTGGAACAGCTAGTAATTACATTTAACGTCATGTAACTATAGCTAGTATGAGGATGTTCCCTGAATTTGCTGCCTCAAATCACCTTTCTTGAGGCAACGGATCATAGTTGAAAATCTTCCACCAAAGTTTTTTTACAATGGATGACTGAACGATTCCCCTATTGATCGTTGATTTTCCCAGCTGCTGAAACATCCAGACTTAGACCACGGGGATTTGGTCCAGCCAACGAGCGACAGTGTCTGACAGCAAAGCCAGGCCTTTGACATTGGCAGTTTGCTGTCTCACTTGTTGCCTGGCGGTTGGGAAGTGGCTCACCCTGCTGAAGAAACATACATGGAATGTGTTGTTGTTGTTGTTTAACAAATATTATTTATAATATATATATACATTCAGATACATATTTGAAAAAAAAAACGATGTTTCTGATTTCTGAAAACCCTTATGTCAAAGGTTTTATTTTACCGGTGCATGCATGTGTTCAAACTGTCGCGACAAACAACCGTTTTGATGTTGCACAGGACTTGGACCGTTGATGGTGTTTTTTGGTTTGCGTAGAAGGACATATTCAGATTCTCAAAAATAACACCAAACTGTTTTACAAAGTTATACACATATAGTATTGCATATATGTGTATATATGATTTATTATACATACTATATATTATAGATACACTCAGGTTATGTTATTATATTATATTATATTATGTTATGTTATGTTATGTTGTATTTTATTATGTTATATTATGTTATATTACATTATATTACACTATTATGTTATATTACATTATATACATTCGGAGAGGCGAATCTTTCGGACTCTCGGATAAGTCTAATCCCGCCTATTTTTGAAAAAAAGCTTCTCCATTTCACAGATCCAAGACATTCCAGCGGGTGGCTTTGACAACCTTTGGCACCCTGATGAACATCAACATAGCTGGTAGATGGATGCCACATGCCCCCCAGAATCTAATTGATAGGTATATTGATCCATATGTATATATATATATACATATTGATTGGGGGGTCCTAAAATGTTGGTACCCCAAATCATCCACTTTATTACGATTCTCCATGAAATAAGAATCCAGTTTCTTTTTGCGGTACCCCCATGGCTTAACAGTCACACCTTCGACCGATGAGGCCTGGTCAGCTGGGGCATACTCTTCTTCGTGTGGTGAATTTCACCATTTGGCCCGGCACTTTGAGAAAGGGTCCAGCGATGGTGCTATTCCTGTGAAGATCTACAGGACAACCCTATATATAATTATATTTATATAATTATAAATTATATAATTATAATTATATATGTATTATACTATATACAGATTTGATTGTAAGTTCCATGGTTTTCTGCATGTTTCCTGAAGTAAAAAAACCCTTCAACCAATCCATTGACCTGTGGCAGTTGACATGACATGGATCTAGCGCGGTCAAGCTTTATTTAAGGGAATTCCTGCTCTCATCCCACTTAATCAGTGGGTTATAGCCCCCGTGATTTACATGGGATAAGTAGGGGTAATCCACTCAAAAAAATGAGGCACCAACGACAATGGAGGGTGACTCGCGAACGATAATTGGGAATCATGTGGGAATTAGCAGCTTTCTTCACTGCTGGATCTACAATGTGGAATCCCCCGGTTTTAAGTTGGTTAAGACGTTATAAGTATCATAAACCATAGTTATTGCATTTATGTGTATTTATGTTCACCAACTTAGCTATCAAACGGGGCCCCACATTGTACTCAACAGAGACCAAGCCAAGGTTGTGATTCCAGTGTCTATATTTGCATAGTTGTTGAAACAAAAATGTGTTGATGAGTCAATACTACGTACCCCAAAAATATTGGTGATTAGTATATTATAGTATATTATATTAGGCATCATTTTCTCATGTTCTATGATTGTTTATGGACAAAAATCGGACAACCAATCTGACCCAATGATTCAGCCTTTTTTTAATTATTTTCAGAACGTTCAACGATGGGTGTTTGACGCCGCCACTGCTCCGGTGGATATTCATTCCTGAAGAACCGCTGGGCATCCGATTTTCTCTACCACTATCCTTGTGTTCGATGGATAGCGGATATCCCCTATAATTATCTATCATTTGTATGTGTCTGAAAATGAGCTATAGCCGCTTTTTTTTGCCATGTAAAGTTTGGAAATGATTGACATGGTGATTGCCCTCCAGTAAACTAACATCGCTATGGAAAATTGTCCATCTGCATACATTATACATAATATATATATATATATATATATGTGTGCCTATATATATATATGAAATGCTGATGATTTTTAGGGCAAACGGTTAATTTACCAGGATATACCCGCAAATTTTGGGTGTGAACAGTTTCTTGGGCAGCGGTGCGTTCCTTCGAATCGCCACAGGGTGGGCGGCTTCTTCTGCCTCGTCTCCTATGTCATTGTCATTGTGCGGCACCCAACGGCGGGCTTCGGGCGAAGCGACCGGTGGAACGGTGGAACGGGGGAACGGGGGGAACGGGGGAACATCGGCTATCAGGGTTGAATTCGTCACACATCCCAGGAACTTGTTCAATGCGATTTGAGATGATTAAAATCATATTAAAATCATGTCTATTCATAAAGTCAGGGTTTAGACCTTACCCATTTGCAGTATCGAAATGGGAATGCAAATCCGGGGAACAAAGCCATCCACAAATTCCTGGTGAAGATGGTGACTCCCAGATCTCCCAGAAGCTGGATGATCGACTGAGGCAGATTGCGCTGCACCTTTTGCGCAACTGGGTCCATGGCGCCTTAAGACCCTGGCATCCCTTCTGGTGCCCTGGCGGTTTCCGTATGGAAATCCAGGGGTTTCCTGGAGGCGAACTTCACCAGATTCGACTCGAATCGAATGATTCCATATAAACATTGCCATAAATATCATAAATTGAGGTAGACCCCCTGGTCTATGACAAAACCATATGGGAATAGACTTGGGATACATGGTAGTTTTATACGCTTTTAATGGGGATTCCAATGGGGATATAGCTGCTATCAGCGGCGCTGCCGATGAGACGACCACCAATGATGGGTCCGTGTGATGCCGTCAGAAGTTGATTGATGAAGCCCGGGAACTACGGATATACCATATCCTCTGGTAATTTAACATAGCAATGGAAAATCACCATAGAAATAGTGGATTTTCCCATGAAAACTGGTGGTTTTCCATAGCTATGTAAACGTTTACCAGAGGGTAAACATCCATAAACATCCATAAGCCATTGGAGTTAGAAACCAAGTTACCCTCTGGTAAACGTTTACAGATGTTTACACTTTGCGAACTTGAAGCCATGGCCCAGTCGAAATAGTGGATTTACCCATTCAACATCGTGGATTTTCCACTTCGCTTTCTGTATGTTTACCAGAGGGTTAGGTCCAGATATACCCCAAGGGTCCCCACCTGCGGGGCGAAATTCATTATATACTCGCATTGATCGGCAATCCGAGCGATGGCCATGTTCCATCGCTAAGTGATCAGAGGCTATATCTGGTTGGTGGTTTAGAACATTAATTTTATTTTTCCATATATTGGGAATAATGATCCCAACTGACTTTCATATTTTTCAGAGGGGTAGGTATACCACCATGTTGTTTTTGTTGACTAATGATTACACAGCCTATTGTTATCAATGGAGCTTCATTTTCCCGGTGCTGTTATTGTAAATCTGTACGTTGGAAACAATCCAATGTTCGATGGCTATCAGGGTCACTGGGAGACCTTTGGAAAGCCCTTTTGTGCAGGATCGTTCCTGCTGCGTTCGACATTTACCTAGGCCCATCGGTTTGTAGCCATAAAAATCATTAAAATTCAATATGTTACCTCATGATTCACGATCTTAGTATTTTTCCCACTTTTATGAATACTTGGAGGGTCTAGGTACACCCCTTGTTCAGCAGACATAACTTCACATGTGGGGCAAGTGCTCTGACTCCAACGTTTCAGGCTTCTTGGGCCGCAGCTCAACAGCTAAACAAGCCTCAGTGATGGATGCATATCAATACTGTAGTCAATATCACACAGCCTATGGTAAAAGTTTAATGGGAGCTATATCAGCTCCAGAAGATATCATGAGTAATTATACAGCAAGTCTTTAAAAAAAAACAAAACATATGAATTACCATGATTTCAGTAGCCTCTGACGTTTATATATTTTTGGAGCTTGCCATTTCAAAGGATACCATGCGATTTCGCCACGTTCGCCGCGTGGTCTCCGCCTGTGTGAGGTATTTCCTTTGTGTTTCCTGGCCCTGGGCCTCAGGGTTTTGAGGGCAAATCTCGGACAAAATCATGGCACATCAATGGATTCAAACGGATGATATTTTATGGATTGGTTGAAGGGAAAATCTGGAAAACCTTGGAATCTTCACATATTATATTTTTTTTTGGGATTATTAAGAGATTATAAAGTCTTCGACTTTCCCATAATATGTTATAATTGGATTATAATGGTATGAATCATGAGGTTTTTTTGGGAAAGTCTGAAGAGACTTTCCGAAAAACGAATTCTGGGAACCCCTCCGGCCAACCTCACTGGCCGCATTCGGATCAATCATCATCAATCATGATCAATCTGGGCAAAACACCGGCTAAAATCCAGAACTGCCACAGATTTGGGTCAAATTGAAGTGAGCACGATCCCCAAAATGTGGTCCCGTAGAGCATTGATATACAGCATTATACAGCGACTGCTTCATGACTAGTCGAAACAAGGCTCGATCCAAAAATTGGTTGGACAAATCTATCGAGAGCCAAAATTTGCTATGACCGAAGTGGGCAGGGCTTAGACAGCCCCAAATTGAATTGCTAAGGTTTGGGAGTTATGAAATGTTATGAAGCTACCGTTTTTGCATTGGGGATGTTTTCCGGATTTGGGAAGTTACACCCCTAAAATCCTGCAGCTTTAGGTCAACCTGCAGGCGTGCGTTCCCGCTTGCTGTTGGTTCAAACGCAGGGAAAATACGATGCGACGAATCTCGCGGCCCAGCTTGCAACTGAATCTTGAGGGTCTAAGAAGGATCCCCACGCAGAAATATCAAGAATCCTGGCAGGAAATGGGGGGCTGATACCTTGAAGTTGGAGTCAATGTTATTTCACCAAGCAGTTCTAGCTGCATAGACTTTGATTTTTAGTGTTCTGATGTTGAGGATGGTTTTTTCCATGAAATTGCTGGCGGGGGATCAACAAACCGCCAAACAAACCTCAGGGTGTTGAATTTTCTCGGAAGTCCTAATGTTATTAGTAAGGAGAATTGCGAAAGAACACTTGGAGAAATTGCACAAATCAGGTCATACAAGCTGAGGCCCCATGATATCCCATAGTCTAATAGTTATAAGTTGGTTTATACAACAAGATGCAGCCCACGAACCCGAATGCAGTCACGTAGAACGCTTTTGTGAAACAAGTTGTTTGGACAGTCTTGTACATTTTTCCCCGGTTACCGTACCAGTGCACTGTAGACTGTGGAATGCGGAAGAGAGTGGAGAGCAAAGTGTGGAGTTTAAAGTATAGAGTGTAAAGTGTGGAGTGTAAAGTGTGGAGTGTAAAGTGTAGAGTGTAAAGTGCAAAGTGTGGAGTGTAAAACTGTAGAGTGTAAAGTGTAAAGTGTGGAGTGTAAAGTGTAGAGTGTGGAGCGCAAAGTGTAGAGTGTGAAGTGTGGAGTGTAAAGTGTGGAGTGTAAAGTGTAGAGTGTAAAGTGCAAAGTGTGGAGTGTAAAGTGTGGAGTGTGGAGTGCAAAATGTAGAGTGTGAAGTGTGGAGTGTAAAGTGTGGAGTGTAAAGTGTAGAGTGTAAAGTGTAGAGTGTGGAGTGTAGAGTGTAGAGTTTGGAGTGTGGAGTGTAAAGCGTATATAAAGTGTAAAGCGTGGAGTGTAAAGTGTGGAGTGTGGAGTGTAAAGTGTGGAGTGTGGAGTGTAAAGTGCGGAGTGTCGAGTGTGGAGTGTAAAGTGTGGAGTGTAAAGTGTGGAGTGTAAAGTGTAAAGTGTGGAGTGTAAAGTTTGGAGTGTGGAGTGGAGAGTGTGAAGTGCAGATTGTGGAGTGTGAAGCGTGGAGTGTGGAGTGTAGTGCGTGGAGTGTAGAGTGTGGAGTGCAAAGTGTAGAGTGTAAAGTGTGGAATGTAAAGTGTGGAGTGTAAAGTATAAAGTGTGGAATGTGGAGTGTAGAGTCTGGAGTGTAGAGCATGTAGTGTGACACGTCTGAAGTGCTGCGCGTGCCACGCAAAATGACAATGGATGTCTCCAAAGTGCTGCGCTTGCCAGGGAAAATGCAACTCATCTTCTGAAAACTACACCAAAGTATTACGCCTGCCACACAAAATGATTTTCGACACGTTTGCAGACACATGAGAATGTCATGAACTGTCACGCCTCTCACGCAAAACCACGTTACAACTGGCTGTGAAACCTTAAAGCAGGATAGGTTTTGCAGCTTCCCCCATAGACACGGTGAGGCCACAGGAAAACCAGAGACTCGAGACGAGACAATGTTGGAGCATCAAAACGAGCATTTCGTGCGAGATCCCTCCAATTTTCACACTTTGTAGCTTCAGAATCGACGTTTTCCTACGAGTTTTCTTGTGAAATCTTGTGAACCTCAAAATTTTCTACCTCAAAAGCGATGTTTCGTGCGAGGCTTCCGTCAATTTTCAGCACATCTCACAAAATGCCAGGCCTGCCACGGAATTTGCACGTTGTCACCACTTGAGGCAGCCCTGACAATGCGATTCGCAAAAAACACGCAACACGACTCCTCTAAAGTGCTGCGCTTGCCACGCAAAATGAAGACGGTCACGTCCAAAGTGCTGTGCCCGCCACGAAAACTAGAACTATCTTCTGAAAACGTCGCAACAGTATTGCGTCTGCCACTTAAAACGACTTCGACACGTTACGAAACATTTCTGAATGTCACGAAGTGCCACGCCTGCCACGCGAAACGAGGCTACGCGACATGTGAAAACTTCCAAGAGTGACCCCTGTTGCAGAACTTGCCATAGGCACGGCCATAGCGACCTCGCGCGAACGGTTGCGAACGGTTGCGGACGGTTGCGAACGGTTGAGAAACGTCGAGCGAACACACCCTCAACCCCCAGACCCCCAGAGTGAAACGGGAACCCTTACTACGCATTTGGGAACAAAACATGAATACGTAGTTATCAGTTATATCTCCTTAATCAACCCAAACGTTAACCAAGTTATAGTTCAGCTCAGGATTTACTGCCTGCGGGCACAGAACTCCTTGAGAAACTAGGCGAGACCAGGGCGTGGTGGAACTGGAGGTTTCACAGGAATTTAATGAGTTTTTTGGTGATTTTATGGGGATAAAGCCAATACGAACGAACCAACACTAGAAGCAACAATTTGATGTTTAATGTGGGAACAAAAAGTGCCATAAACCTACCATTTGGATCCATTTGGGGGATGGTAAACATACCACCCATCAAAATAAAAATGACTTGGGGACGGTTTATGGCAGCCAGGGTTTACCACATGCACCTAAAATCTGGGAATCATCCCCAAAGCGGTTTATTTCATCGAAATTTATAGCATCCTATTGACCGACGTGGGACACAAGCAATGGTTTCTAATGCAGTGTGTATTCCTTTCCGCTTCTGCACAGGATGCTCATCCTAGTTGAACAATATTATTCAGTGTATCTATATTACACAATTATATATATATATATATATGTGTGTGTGTTTGTATTTACAAACATTTAAAAGCAAATATGGATACATACCTCTTTGATAGCGGAACCCTCAACAAACGGGTCATATTTCCCTGGCCTACAGCTGGCGGCTGGAACTGACCTGCTGCCACTCTTCCAGGTGGTCACTGGTCAACATATCCAACAACAAGTCCCTATGTTTGGTTGTACCCCCAAACGTTAGCCAAGTTGGCTTAGTGATAGCATGTCACAAAAGGATTTGTTTAAATGATATTTTATGTGTATATATATATATATAATTATATATATATATATCGAACTAGGTTGACCGGGGTTATATTTCAACCAGCCAGAATCACGTTAGGAGTCACCAAATTGTACTTCAGGAGACAATTCTTCGGTATGGAAAGGTATGAAAAGGCCACCAACAGCTAGAACTTGTTTACTAAACAGGCTAGCTGGGAAATCGCTGAACTACAGGTTTTCATGGGAACATGATGTATAAATGGAGGGTTCTCCACTGTCAGTTTTGAGTGGAATAGTCCTGGCATGGAGATACGAAAAACATACCCAAAAAACATGGGTTTCCCCATGAAATCAGAGATAAATAGTGGACATTTCAGGGATTTTCAAGGTTTTTCCATATGTCCATGACTTCCTTTTCTCGCCATGTCAGGCAAAGGCAGCTGTGGTACGGTGCGCCGCATTCGCCTTCAAGGTGCGAAACGGAGTCTATTGTGGGGAGCTGCGTGGTATTTCATAAATATAAGATGATTCAATACATATATATATTTTTTGTTATAAATTATAATATATAATCCTGGAGGGTCATTCGTATGTTAAATTTCACGTTGAGGCCTGTCTATGATTATATATATATAGAGGGGATGACATTTGAATCAAGGAATCGGGTTTGCTGTAGATCTGATTTATATTTTGTCAGATACCTGTGGTTGATGCTCACCTATACTGTATATCTCCACCGCTTCAACCCATCCATTAGCCTAGTAGTTTGTCTTTAGCCGCTGAGATTTTGTTGGATTTTGTCAGAAATCCGTATTTATCCTGCTTCAATCCCGATTCTAAGTAGTTAAATCATATTAAATCCCGATGTTTGCCTTGCTGAAATCCCAATTTTTAGTGGTCAAATCCACATTTTCGTTGGTCAACCCATGTCAACCCCTCATCCAGATCCATCCAGCACATCCAGCGCATCCAGGCGTGCTTCGCGCGGCCAAGTTCATTCCCGCCACGGAAGGAGATACCAAAGCAGCTGCAGCGCAGGACGGGACCGTTCCGGCCGCCGGGGCCCATTTCCGGTCCCAAGAACTTGGACGGAAATTTAGCACCGCTTTGGACGGGATTTGTCGACCGCAGAAAAAAACAAAAACAGGAAAAACATGAGAAAAACTCTATAGAATGTGAGGAAATTCCAAGTTCTGTTGCGCAAGTATTAAGAACCATATGTAGTTTGAGAAAATTGTAGCGATCTCACTGTCCCACCCTCACCGTAGGCGATGGTCAGTAATCCCATTTGCCGAAATATGTCTTTTAAATTTTGGATTTTACACCAGTGAGATTGACAGGAATGTGTGCAAACCAGTTTTATGATTTTTGGTGACTGGGATCAAAATCATAATTGTTTTATGATGTTTCCATCCATTAGTTTTATGGTTTTATGTTTCAAGATGTTCGGTAAAGAACCAGTGACACGAACGGGGACTTTCAAAATGGCGGCCACTGCGCCAATGCTGATGGAATCGTAGGATTTGTTGGACATCCTCTTTCAAAGGCATTTCCATGGGAACAGCAATGGACTCATCTATGTTTAATGGGAAAACAACATTGCCATGTTTGACTACTCTGTATGCAATGCATACATGTAAATTCATGTGTATATACTGTATTATATATACACATATTATACAGTTTACGTATATATATATATACACGTACTTGTGTGTAAATAAACAAGTACGTGTATATATATATATACAAATTCTATTCTATTCTATTCTATTCTGTTCTATTATAATATATATTATATTATGTTAAATTATTTTATTTTATTTTATATTATATTAATATCTATATATATATATAGATATACATATAATTATACCTAGATAGATTGATTGTCATAAATGGAAGAATATGCTGATCATATGCTATCCTGCCAAATTGTCATTCTTGTGCCAACCTAGCCAGCAAGATTTCCAGGTATCCCACCATGCCCAGACTCCCGCACCCTGCATGGTCAACCAAACTGCCGGATGTTTGCCATTGTCATTGTGTGTCATTTGATAGTTTTTTAAGTAAGTTCAAGATAAGCCATCCATTTTTCAATAGAAAAATTATAATATAACATTGGTAAATTGGTTGTCTCATATTAACCACTATTTATAAAGTTAATCATAAGTTTATAATATTTAACAACTATTTATAATATATACCATTGGTTGTCATAATATAATATAGGTTAATATAACCACTATAAGCTTCAACTCTTTTTGGTTCTCTTGATCCGAGGGTTTCACCCCAGATTTCCCCCATCGGGTTTTTCCCCTGCCCTGCCAGTTTTTAGGGTGACCTCACTTTCAGGAAAACTCGTTGATCTACATATAACCATGAACATTCCCAACTGTTTGACTATGTGTGGTATTTTTGACATGGTTGTTCCTTTTCCCGCTACGGAGCACATATCTAGAGGTAGAAACTCTTCGACGGCCGAAAGTTTTCGATACACCCCCCCAAATCCCAAAATTTTCAGGTAGAAAATATTCTAGGGGTAAAAATCACTATATTTATATAGGTATATCATCTTCTCCCCAAATCCCACAGGAGCATCAGTTGCTTTCATCCTTTCAACATCCGGGGATTGTCCAGACCTTTGGTGGCTCAGCAATGGGAGCTGGCGCCCGGATTTGCCGAGAAAATCATGGGAAGAACCATCATTGTTCATAGGTAAATCATCTAAACATAGGTTATTTTCCATAGCTATGTTAAATAACCCCACGGTAAACAAAAATAACATGGCTTGCTTTCTGGAGTTGACTGGATTTCCGATGGTTTGATGTAACATGATGTCTACATATATACATATATGTATATAAATATGATTAGATATGAACGTATTAGTTGCATGGGAGATTTTTGTTTAATCATTATTTGTTTTTTTTTAGACAGTGTTCAAAATGACGATGATGATGATGATGATGATTCAGCTTGAGCCCATGTTGAATTCTGAGGCCTCTTTGCCTCTGATGCTGGGACTATGGGGGATCACGGTGTGGATCAAAAAGAAGCTGGGGATGTACCGAGCATCTCTACTTGGGACTGCAATTCTATTTGTAGCTGGATGTATATAGCTGGATTGATTTCACCATACTATACCATATGAAATAGCCAAGTTGCATTAATGCTATATCCCCAGTGATGTACGGCTTATATCCCCGTTAGTACCCATTGGGTGCAAAGATGTTGGTTCTTTGTTGAACAAACTGTACACCCAATTCCGGTCCATAGCCATTGACATCCCTTTACCATCTAATTCTTTGACCCACAGCCACTCCACAGTTGCTTATTTTGAATCTGTAACGCTGCAAAAGATATATGATATCTGATATATGAATATATGAATATATATATATGATATATGATATATATTTATACTTACATGCATACATACATACATACATACATACATAATGACTTACATTGATTTCCTGCATATAGAAGTGTCAATTTTTTGTGGTTCCGAAGCAACACGTATACCGCGTATACTGTGATCCATCAACAAGCCAACCTGCATTGATCCATGAACTTTGGACAACCGATGCTCCCATGAATTGTCCCTCAGTAAGTCGTTTCACAATCCCAGTACTTCGTAGTTCGATATATCCACCATAAGTCCTTGTTATCATCATACACCAACTTGCCTACCGCCCCGGGGCGGCATTTTAGCACCGTTTCGGTGGGTATCATGTCCTGGGGATGTCCGGTGGCTGGGTCATGAAACATGTCATTCCAGTCATTCCAGTTGGACCTCGGGACCTCGCAAGGATGTTTCTTTTGTACCCCAGATGTTGAACATCATGTCGGTGATTTATAGTTTATGATGATTTACCTTTTAACAATGGTGATGTTCCAGTACGTGAATTACGTTAAATCACATAACCAAAGGATACAGTATGGTGCCCCCCAGTTATATTAGTTGGTTTATAAACCCCATGCATACTATAGTTATATCTACCATAGACTATAGAATTCAGCCACTTATTTTCGGCAACTGAACGCGGCAACCAACAGGGGCCCCATCCTGAGAAATTGGCAGCGTTCCCACCCGCCAAAAGTCAGGTACTTTATGTGTTGACATATTTTAATGATGCCGTTGAATGATGTTTAATGATGCCGTTGAATGATGTTTAGTGATGCCGTTTAATGATGTTTAATGATGTTTTTCATTATTTTCAATTGTGTTTAATGATGTTTAATGATGTTTAATGATGTTTAATGATGTTTAATGATGTTTCATGATGTTTCATGATGGTTAATGATGTTTAATGATGTTTAATGATGTTTAATGATGCTTAATGATGTTTCATGATGGTTAATGATGTTTAATGATGTTTAATGATGTTTAATGATGTTTAATGATGTTTAATGATGTTTTCATTATGTTCAATTGTGTTTAATGATGTTTAATGATGTTTAATGATGTTTTCATTAGTTTTAATGATGTGTTCATTATGATTGTTGATGTTTAATGTTGATTGTAATCTTCATATCCTTCAAGTTGTTCAAATTTGATTATGGACACTGAGCATAGGATGGATATAGCCAGCTGTCATAGCCTATAAAACGTCCATACAGTGCGGCAGAAGTTTCGATGAGTGTTGCGGCAAGATGTGCATTTGTCAAGCTGGATATGTGAAGAAGCACGAAGATATTCATGCGGTTCGGAAATGTTACTGCAAGTGGAATTGGAATTGTCCTTAAATGGGATACTACATGATACCCCCAAGTCATTAGACCATACTAATCCATTTTAGCATTGAAACCCATGGTTTTGCTTTTGGGGATCCCACATTTTTCCGAAACCGCTGATCCTTCAACGACGAGTCCAGTGGCGATCCCATTTTTGTCCCTGAGATGATGGTTATTGTATGGGTCATTTCAAAAATTGGTTATAAGACCCAATCTTTATAGGAAACACCTTGACAACACCTTGCGATGATGTTTTTTTTCTCCGGGTGTTCCATCAATTTACGGACAACGCCATATATGGTTTGGTGGTTACTGATAATTATTGTATGTAGATTATGTAGACCAACAAAAATATATTTCCAGAAAATATTCCCATGATATTCCGAGATATTTCATGTCATCATGTCCCAGGATCAGGCCGTGTGTATCGTCCTAGAGTTGTGCAGCCAGGGAAACGTCCCTTGGCCGGAACGCGGGGAAAGCTTCAAATCCATGGTGAACATTGAGTTATGTACGGAATAAATAGTTTCAACAATATGTATGCATATACATATATTAAATGTAATGCAATGCAATGCAATGCAATGTAATGCAATGTAAAGTAATGTAATATAAAGTAATGCATATATATATATATATACACATGTATATTGTATATACAACATAATGAGCAAAACTTGGATGTTACCAGCATGATTGTTCTCAGAACGTGATTGTATAGAGAAGGTTCGTTGAAGATGGCCGCCTTTGGTGTTTACTCTCAAGCTCTTTTTAGGGTTCATGCCATGGGATTTGGAGTGTGGGGCCTATTGATTTGTGGCGCATTGATAGGTCAACTGTCGGTGGTGATTCCTGTGACTATTTTTGGGACTGGACCCTCCATTAGCCCTGCCTCCTTAGAATCATCAGTTGCGAGGGCTGTCTCTGAAACCCTTAAGTTTTGCGCCGAGCTTGATCTCACTTCGTCCACTTTGCCTCCGAGTGCCTCCGTCATTGAAGGGGCCTTTCAGCTGAATTGGATTGTGGTGATTGGCTTAGCGTGTTTAGGGGTGAGCGTATTGATTTGTGGAGTTTGCACTGTGGGCTGGTATCTTTTGGTAATTCGGGCAAGGCATTTGAGTGTTGCTGCAGTAGAGGGTGACTCTCCTAAGTCACCTCAACTGGCTTTGCAGACCTTAGCCAGAAATCAATTGGCAGAACTGCGGGTCCGACGTCATGCTGGTCAATCGAATCGCTTTGCTTGAATACGATGTTCCTGGTCCCACAGTGATTCATGAACGCATGGTGATAGAGCATGTCATTAATGATGAGTATGTGGTATGTACCCCAGACAGAGACATTTTTGTGGAGCAGTTGTCCGTGGAAAACCAAGATCTCAAGTCATTCAGGTTGAGGCCATCAGCAAACCAGCTTCCTCCCGGGGTGAACCCGGCCCAACTCTACAGCCTCCCTGCCTGGAATCCTGGAGAAGTGGCGGCAATCAAAGATGAGGGTCGTCGTTTAGCAGTGCAGGAAAGAGGACTCAGGGCGGCTCCTGGGGGTGCGGTTGCAGCACCGCCCGCAGGTGCTGCTGCCCCGTTGCCTGTTGCAGTGGCAGCAGACGCGGTGGCAGTTTGCCCAGGCGCTAGCAATCTCACTCCCGGGGTGGCAACATGGGTTGCTGCTGAGGCCATTGATGGAGTCAGGTATGGTCAAGTGATTGATGGGGTGCTTGCACAAGCGGTCATTGGAGCCAAAACAGTTCACACAATGGCCGATGGCAGATCCCTTTTTTGCATGTGTGTCACAGATGTCAGTGCAGATGATTTCAACAACCGAATTGCGGCGTGTGATGGCCGGATCAACCGACGGAAGCTGAATGCCTTGGGCACTCCCGAGGTACCTTTGTCGGATGCAGTTTCAGCTTCAAAGCAGTTTGACATGGGGTGGAAGATGACCGGGCCCAGGACGGCCCAATGGTGTCTGAATTACCTGGTTGTCGAGGGCTTGGGGCTGGAGGCTCATCATGAGCGTTTCCGACAACTGTGCCGCTTGGACTCAGCTGCATGGGGGGTTCAGGAGCATTTTCAGCTGTCAATGATGCTTCGTCAGTTGTTACAGGTTGATAGCTTCAATGGTTGCAATTCTCTGGGCATTGAGCTGATGTTCAGAAGGCTTCAGACAATTGAGTATGCGCATGCAGAAAAAGCCAGGGAAAATGAATCGCGTCTTTCTGGAGGCAAGTTGGCTTTGGAAGAGCAGTATGTCTTTGGGTCGGTAGTTCGCCACGCCGGCACACTGATGATTGCACCTTCCTTGCTTAGCTATGTCAAGGAGGAGACGGAGAAAGAAGTTCTACTGGCGAAGAATCTTAGGAAGGCCAAGGAGGAGAGGGAGCTGGCCGCCAAGAAAGGCGGTAAGAAGCAGTCGAAGAATGAAGAGGGCCCCTGATTGGGGGGCCGGTGTTGGAGAGAGGACCGACTCCTGCACCGATGCCTGAGGTCCATTGGCTTCAGAGTGATGATCGTTCAGTTCCGCGAGAAGTGTTCCCGCTCCCTGCCTTTGACCAGTTCACAGTGCCCTTAGATCTGGATGTCAGCCGCACAGTTTTCCGACGTTTGGAGAAGAGGCAGCATGTTGGTTCTATGGTCAATGATTGCATTAGGGGGCTCAATGCTTTGTACAGTGGAGGTAAGGTCGAATCTGCTTTGACACGGAGGCCGCCTTCTGCAGTTCAGCAAAAGATTTTTGAGCATGTTTTGAATTCTGTCAAGACACTGGGGCCACGACCTCGGGACCTCAGTGGCTCAGAAGCGCTACAGCAGCTTCGAGCTTTCGACGGGTATGGCGAAGACCAGATGCCATGCTCAGTTCGGCCATATTCACCCCAACTCCTGTCTTTGCCATCTTGTGGAAATCAAGCAGTTCCGTTGGAAAAGCTGATGGGAGAGGAGGGTTGCTCACTTGTGGACGAATTTATTCGTACCCGTCTTCTGCCCCAGAATGAGGCTCGCAGGAATGTGCGGGCGTCTGGCTTGAGAGAGGCCTATAGCGATCCACGGCTTCGAGAACCTGACACTTACAGTTCGTTTGTGCAGAGGTTGGTCGATGCTGATCTTGTCGAGATTGTGCGAGAAAGGTGGGTAGAAAAGATTGAGGTTTTCTTTGTGGCCAAGAAGGATGGCCGTCTCAGGATGGTGTGTGATTGTCGGCTGTCCAATTGCCACTTTGCCAAGCCTGACAGGGTGAGACTGTGCACGGCTGAAGCCTTGACGCGAGTGGAGCTGCCAGCGGGTTCTCAACTTCATATAGCCACTGCTGATCTCAAGGATGCTTTTTATCATTTCCAGTTGCCTTTAGAATTGCGGTCTTACTTTGGAATGAGGGGGCTGCATGCTGGAGAGCTAGGAGTGACTGAGCTTGATGGGATTGCAATCAGTGCAAGTGAGCTGGTATACCCGCGGCTCAAAGTGCTGCCAATGGGTTGGAGCCATGCACTTTTTTGGTGTCAAAGGCTGCACCAAAAAATAGTTGGTGCAGTCGGTGCAGGGCCTGATTCATGTTTGGAGGACAAGGTTGCTGTGCCTAACTCTGAGTGCATGCATCTTGAATATGTTGACAACTATGTGTGCCTCGGAACAGACCAAAAGCAAGTCGAGGCCTTGTCTGCAGCAGGGGTGCGTGCGCTCCGACAGAAGGGCTTGGTGGTGCATGAAATTGAGAGTGTGTCAACAGACCAGGAGCCTGTCAAAGTCTTGGGATGGCAGTTTAGCGGGACGAAGATCCAGCCCGTGCCACTGAGAGTTTGGCGAGTTCGTCTGGGCATAGAAGAAATCTTGAGGATTGGCAATGTTCCCGGGCGCCAACTGGAAAAGGTAGTAGGACATGCTGCATTTATTTGTTTGGGAAGGAGGGAGTCATTGTCAATTTTTGGGGAAACATATACCTTCATACAGCGTCACTATCACATGCGTCATCGGTTATGGTCTTCGGTTCGACGAGAGTTGCAGATTTTTTGTTGTTTGTTACCCTTGATCTGGCGTGATTTATCATCTGAGTGGAGCGAGCAAGTTACAGCAGTGGATGCATCAAATTGGGGTTTGGGGGCAACAACAGCAGATTTTTCAGCAGCAGAAGTCAAGCAGTTGGGTCAGTTTTCCGAGCGGTGGCGGTTTGAGTCAGAGACCTTTTCAAAACCAAGGGGCGCAGCTTTTGGGGTAGGAGTCACTGAGACAACTGATGAGGCAGAAGCAGTGCAGTGGGCCTCAGCGAGTGGAGAGCCAGCAGCAACAGCTCAGGTGCCTTTGGATTTTGGGTTGGGGCGGAAGGATGAAAGCTTTTTCAAACCAGTCCCTTTTGAAGCAGTTGACCGGAGTTGGAAAGTTGTTGTGCGTTACAAGTGGAAGCGACAAGAGGGCATGCCTGTTTTGGAAGCAAGGGCCACTTTGTTTGCAATCAAACATGCTTTGCGTAACGTTGAGAATGTAGGCAAGCGGCATTTGGTTTTTTCAGACAGCATGTCAGCAATTTGTGCAATCGATAAGGGTCGAGGTAAAACACGTGGGCTTAGAAGGGTTACTCAGCAAATTGGTTCTCTTTTGTTGGCTACTGGTTCTATGTTGGGATTAAGATGGTTGGCATCAGAAATGAATCCTGCAGACGGTCCCTCAAGAGGTTCACTGTTTCCCTCGCACCCCCAACGTTTTTTGGATGGTGCTGCACAGACTGATTCAGTTGCCTGGCAATCAGCAAGTCAGGGCGAAACCAAAGGTGCAAAAAACAAAGAAACAGAAGTCTTTAGTGGGTGCGTCTCCTCAGAAACTTCAGAAAAGACAGCAGCAGATTCAGTCGGTAGGGAACCTGGCCAATGCCTCAGTGGGCCCATCGGCCCTTGCCCGGTATCGGTCAATGTGGGAGAGACTGAAGTCCTCAACTGGTCAAACACTGGGTTCACGAACGTCAGCAAGTCGGATGGACCAAGCCTTGAACAGTTGTCTGCACGAGATGTTCTTGGAGGGCGAGAGTTTGAGTGCTGCCCAATACATGGTTGCGGCCAGCCTTTTCTTTTGCCCCCATTTGAGATCTCCGCGGCAGATGCTGCTGCCCATGACCAAGCAATGTCTGCAGGGATGGAGGAAACTGGACCCACCAATGTCAAGGTTGCCGTTGCCACACGAAGTGGTGTGAATGATGGCGGAGTACTCCATCAAGAAAAACAAGGTGGAGGAGGGCCTGATGATGCACCTGGCCATGGAAGCTTACCTGCGGCCCGGCGAACTCAACAAGATTCGAGTGGGCGATGTGATCCCACCGGTGCATGGCAGCCGAAAACCTCAATGGTCCTTGGTTCTGCACCCCTTGGAAGAGGGACAAATGTCGAAGGCCCAGGAGTTCGACGAGACAGTGCTCTTCGACCTCGACGAACAACCAGCTATCCTGGAGTGCATTTATCGGGTGGCCAGATGCTCAATACGATCCAAGAACGAGAAGCTTTTCAGTGCCCACTTCAGCGATGTGATGAAGATGATGGAGGAAGCCAGCAATCACCACCACATGGACAACTTGGGGGCACCTCACGCCTACAGGTTGCGCCATGCCGGCGCCTCCCAGGACTTCCTCTTGAAGTCTCGAAGCATGAGCGACATTCAGCAGAGGGGGCGTTGGAAGGCTGCGTCTTCGACAAGACGATATCAGAAAGGAGGGCGATTGCAGCAGATGCTGCATCAGTTGCCAGCAAGCGCAAGAAGCGCAGCAATGGCGGCCAGCCGAAATCGGGTTGCCTTGCTCCGCAGCCTGCGTTGAGCCGTCAACCGACCACTGGGCCAGTGTTCATTGAGATTTTCTCTGGTTGTGGAAACCTGGCAAAAAGTGTGAGTCGGTATACCACTTGGAACGTTCTATTGTGGGATATCACACTTGGCAATGACTATGACTTGCGATCACGTGGCAAACGTCGCATGATTGGTGAGTGGATTCGATGCGGCTGGGTGGTGGGTTTCCACCTTGGGACTCCATGTGAAAGTTTCACGCGTGCAAGGGATGTCCCCCCGGGACCTCCTCCTCTGCGAAGTGATGCATGTCCACTTGGTCTTAGTGGCTTAAGGCCTGCTGATCAGGTGAAGGTTATCACCGGGAATTTGTGGATGCGTTTTTCAGCTTGGTTGCTTCGCTTGGCAATTCAGTTTCATCTTTTTGCTACCATGGAAAACCCTCAGCGTTCAAGGATTTGGTTGTGCCCACCAATGTTGGCTCTGATGCGGAAACCCTGTGTTCGAATGTATGTTACCCACTACTGCTACTGGGGAAAACCTTTCAAAAAGGCTACAAGTTTTCTAGCAGTCAATTTGGTGCTTAGCCGACTTGAAAACGCAGTTTGTCATGCAAGCAAGCGTGGGCTTTGTCAATTTTCACAATGCCCTCATTTACAGTTGTGTGGCAAAGATGAGTCAGGACAATGGCGAACTAGAATGGCTCAGCCATATCCAGTCAAAATGTGCAATGCAATAGCAAAATGTTTCCATGATGCTGAAGTTGAACGTATCGCATCAAGGTTTCAATCCAAACTGGCATGAACCGGCTAGAACCAGAAGGCTCTGCAATTATGGGCCATCTTCTGTTTTGCAACTGGTTTCTTTTCTGACTGGGATCGCAAATATGGGTTGGCAGTGGATGTGTGGCCTTTGATGTCTTTATGCTTTGATGGTTCCATGCGTCCACTTGACAATCCAATGCAGTTGTCGAGTCACAGTCTGGCCTTGTTGAAAAAAGATCCGAAGCGGTGCATGATTGTTCTCAGAACGTGATTGTATAGAGAAGGTTCGTTGAAGATGGCCGCCTTTGGTGTTTACTCTCAAGCTCTTCCACGCCCAGAACCCACCCTGGAGCTCTTCGGGTTGGCAGTGGATGTGTGGCCTTTGATGTCTTTATGCTTTGATGGTTCCATGCGTCCACTTGACAATCCAATGCAGTTGTCGAGTCACAGTCTGGCCTTGTTGAAAAAAGATCCGAAGCGGTGCAAATATGTGTAGCCAGGGATGTAACGGGCACATGGTTTTGGATTGTTTGAAGGGCGATTTTTCTGGGCAAACACACCATAGAATCGTGGGTTTTTGAATGAATTATATAATCACAGGGTACAAAGCATCAAACATGTGGCCTGCAAGAAGCTGAGAGCAAAACTCTTCACTGTATGTTGATGATTTTTGATAGGTTTGTTTTGGGCTTTTGAATTGCTTCAATGGCAATTAATATCGTTTTTTAAAACATGGTGGACGGTGGTGTCGCAATTGTGTCATGGGATTCGCCGCGGGGGAGGAGCCAACAAGTATCCAATCGTCGGTGTACCTGGTCTCTACAGTATTTCATTGGATTGGTTTAAGGGAAAATATACAGGAAATCATTGCTTTTACCATTAAATATGGTGGTTTCCTGTAAAATTCCCCAAAAACAAATCCAATGAGTATTTTATCATAATCGTACCTCTTAGGATGTTATGGATGTGTTGTCAATTCTCATTTGAACATGAGCCTTCATGATCTGCTGCCTTCCACATCAGTTTTCTGATATTTGTTTCAAACATGTGTCATCTGTAAGGGCTCACATGGGATATTTGGATGCTCTTGCGTCCTCCGAAGCTTAGGTCTCGGAATGGGTGAGTAACAATGGCGTTTTTGAGCCTTGGCAGCGAGCACCGGCTTTTAGCACTGCTGATGTGATTTGATGATTGAGATGGAAGCCTGAAATGGAACAGGGTCAAGCAGCTTGGAACAGGATTGGAATCCCATCAGACACTACCCGCTGGGAATTTGACGTAGCAAACTGGATGAATACAATGTCTAATAGGTAGAGCAACATAAATCATCTAAAAAAATTGGGCAATTGTCCATACATAGCTATGTTAAATTACCAGAGAGTGTAATTAATCCACTTCACATGCCATTTTTGCTATGCATGAGGAACACAGGTAAGTAATCAAGTGCGCAATAGATTTTCCATAGATCATGAACGATGGAGCTGCCCCAGGCTGCATTGCAATACCAAAACATCAAAGTATCAAGATGTGTAATTAGAAGTTATAATCTTGACACAGTTGTAGATATAGACGTAAATATACAAATCTGTAGAAGTATAGTATATTCAACATATTCAACTACAAGTATCCAAGTATCATCAACACTTCGTAGTTGAGACATGCTTTGGAAATCCCATGGTATCTCCTGATGTCATGGAAAAACGGCGCGATTTCTTGGGGGTCTCGGAAGCCGGATCGCCGCTGTTGCGCTGTTGCCATCGCATGGAAGATTTCAATAAATTTCACATAGTTGAAAAAACACATATGTCCATATATTAAATTGCATATTATATTATATATATGTATATATGTATGTATATATATATATGACATCATGTCCATGATTCATTCACCATTTTAAACATGTTGTCCCTTTTGTTTCACGATGTCTGGATTTCCAAGGATTTTGATCGCTCTCTGTGCTTTTTCCAGCAACTACTAGGTGCCCCACCGACATCGCCGTGTACGAAGTACACACTCGGGGTGTTGAAAAGAAAGCCTTGCATGCATATATTATATATGTATGTACATGGACATTAAATTTTAATATATAGTATGTCTAATCTTATTGTTAATACATATATATATATATATGATCATATATGTATATGTCTGCAGCATGCGTGTGCATTTCAACACATATATATATATACATGGATGGATGTATCATATATATATATATGTATGTATCATATTTATATATATATATATATTTAATGATATACACCATATTTATACTATATTATATATATTATGTATATATATATATCATGTATCATATATAGATATATATCATGCATCATATATATATATATATCATGTATCATATATATATATCATGTATCATATTTATATATATATATATATATCATATATATATATATTTATATCATATATCATATATCATAAATATGATATATATATATATATATGCATTTCTCATTTTTATATATATATATATATCATTTGTATATATATATATACATATAGATACCATATATATATATATATGTATGATACATACATGCGTACGTACGTACGTGCGTACATACATACATACATACATACATACATACATACATACATACATACATACATACATACATACACATATACGCATATACGCATATACACATATACACATATACGCATATACGCATATACACATATACACATATACACATATACACATATACACATATACACATTTACACATATACACATATACACATATACACATATACACATATACACATATACACATATACACATATACGCATATACGCATATACGCATATACGCACATACATACATACATACATACATCCATCCATCCATCCATCCATCCATCCATCCATCCATACATACATACATACATACACTTACTTCTAATCTACATCTACATGTACATGTACATTTATATATATATATGTATTTGTGTATCATATAGCTGCAGCTCAAAATGGGATGTCCCGATCCATACCCTCATTAGTGTAATTCCTTTGTTCCATAGGTCCGGATCACCACCGGGATCAAAATTTGTTTTTTGAGCCATAGCCCTATATATATACATATAGAGATCATTTGTAAACATGTGTGTATATAATATATACAGGCGATAAAACATGTGTTCAATCAGGTACCCCCCATGTGACCAACACTTTGAAGATCTTGGGGGCAAATTCCCCCAGATTCACCTTGATTTCTATGGTACCCCCTGCTAAACTAACATTGCCATAGAAGGTAAATCACCATTGCTATAGAAGGTAAAATCATCGAACTAAATGAGAGAACCTGTATCAATTTTCCGTAGTTACGTTAAATTACCAGGTATTTGATATTATCATGGAGGTTTCTGGCGGAGGAATTGCTGTGGCACCGTTCGATTTGGCCTCAAAATCCATTGGTTAATCATCAGGATTCCTTGTAAATTGCCATTTGTGGGTTATACTTTTACTCTAGGTTCAGACACACCCATATTATATATATATATATATTGATTGATCTTCAAATAACACCATTCGACCAATATTGGTTTCTTGTGTTGGGCGAGAGAAGAAAGACTCTTGGGATTTTGGGCACTTTCAATCTCTCTGGATCTGTCATTCTGTTAGAAAAGAGGGCCTGGTCCCAAGTTGGGTCTGAAAACAGAATAGCCCCAAAATTGATGGTTTATCATCATGTTTGACATATTTGGGGTATCCTATTTTCAGATCATATTCTGGGTAACCATCAAAAATGGTTGATACTGATGTTTGAACATAGGATACCCAAATCTTAAATAGACATTTTTTCGTTTTTTACCCTTTTTTTCAGACACACCCAAGTATGGGAAGATGCGCTAGGTTATCTGACTGATAACCTAACGCATCAGCTGTACAAGAGATCTCTTTGGCCATTCTCACAACCGAAGGAAACAGTCTTGAACTATCAATTTCTTGAGTTCCATTTCGAATTTTCTAGAGGTGTGCTATTTGACCCGAGATGAAGTCCATTTTGCGGTTTGTTGGTTCTCAAGAGAAAAACAACTACATATTTCCATCATGCATGGTTGGATGGCTACAAGCAGAACACTGGTTGTTACGTTTTCTCTATCAACCCATCTATCCAATTATGGATGGTTACATAATCCTGACATCATAGTCATCTATCGACCACTTTATTCATCTATGCATTCATGACTAGATAATCCCGTTTGTGATTTACACTGTATCTGATTGGTGGTTTGGAACATGTTCTATTTTTCCATATATTGGGAATAATCATCCCAACTGACTTTCATATTTTTCAGAGGGGGTAAAACCACCAACCAGTTTATTATTGAGTCTGCATTGACCCATGCTTATTTGTACGGGAATTCACCAAGCCATGGCATTTGGTATTTGAAATCCCCTTTTTTGGACAGCGACTTGGCAATCGATTCCGATTTCTGGGAAGCAACCATCCATATCAATGATCTACAAAGAAATGAAGATCATAAATGTATATAAATGTCTTCAATAAATGATCATTAAATTATCATATCATCACTATCATCAATGATCATCAACCATCAATTAAAAACATAAATATAATCAATCATCAATTAAGATCATTAAGATCATCAATCATCAATGATCATTAAACTATCATATCATCCATATCATCCATATCATCAATGATCATAAAACATCAATTATATAAGATTACATTTATATCATCAATCATCAATGATCATTAAATGTTCATATCATCATTATCATCCATATCATCAATGATCATCAATCATCAATCAAGATCATACATATCATCAATCATCAATGATCATTAAATTAAGATCATAAACGGATTGGAATCATCTATGGGATTCGTTCATCGAAACAACGCGACGTCGACCTGGCAGGTGCGGTGGACTAGATCCATCAGAAACGCATCGTTCATCGGGAGCCTCGGACAACGAAAAACCACGGTGACGACTCGTCATCCGTTTTCGTCCCAGGTGAAACGGAAAATGTGTCTGGACAGTTCATAGAGCCCAGAATGGTAGGACTTGTCACTTGTTTGGTTTTGACATTAAACATCTTCTGAGTGGATTCAAGATGTTAAAGGTTCAGCCCGTTTGACAGGACAGGTTTTGGATTGTCGGGCTACGTACAGATGGTGAAAATTACCGTGACTACACATGCACAATCAGAGTATGTCATCCATGCACCAGCAATATCAGAAGATATCAGAAGGAGGCTCTTTGTGGGTTGAAGCATCACATCATTATGAACATCCTTTATCTACTAGACCCTCTAAGCGCCCATAAAAACATGTATTTTACATTTGTTTACAATATTTTACCTCATAATTTTTGCGAGTGGGACGCTGTGAGTCAGGCCTCAATTTCTGACAATTTTTAGTACTGTACTTCTTTCTTGTTATGTTGTTTCTTCAATACTCATTTTGGATCATTTTGGTGGGTACACACTTTAAGGATTTTCGGGGCTAGGTGCATGCTTGTAGCGCGCAAGATGCATCATCAATAAAGGGATGGGTCAACATCTAAGCCGTTTTTTCAATCCTCGGGCTTCCGGACCTATCCATGGACCACTTGTTACAAACAGTCGGACTTAACCATCAATACCAAGTTGTTGTTTTTTTGGAAACTGGAGCTGCCCCATTCCATCCAATAACCCCCGTAAGTTGGGATAGAAAAACGTGTTCGTGAACACTGGAACTGCAGATGATATTAACATCGCTATATATCTATATAGACACATGTATCCTGTATACATATCATATATATATATACGTATATTCCTTTGATTATTGCTATTTATATGGTTTATGTGATGCAATTGTTATCCCTTATGAAATGAAAATCCCTTCGCGGCTTGGGCTTAGGACATTAAACCTGAGAACTGTTTGCTGACAGATTCTTGGACGCATTTTTTTTGCTGCTTGAAATCAGAACATATTAGCGGTCTTTTTCTTTCGCGTTGAGAGTGTCAATTGCTAACTCTTTTCTTTCTTGGGGATTTCTTGAGATGGATTTCTCATTTTGTTTGCCTTGGATTCCTATGGATGATGAAAATCTGATGGATTCAGATGGATATATCCTAAATTTTCCATAATGGATGAATCATAATATGATGAATCATAATATGATGAAAATCTGATTTATGATCCACTTTTGCCATCTGATTTATGATCTATGATTCTTGAGAAATCTTCTATGGATTTCCAGTTCCCATGGTCTCGGTGGCTCCCGTTTTCAGGACGAAGCCAGCACGTTGAAACTCACGGATTTCACCAGTGCCAAGGCCACGGCAAGCAGATGGTCATTGTTGTGATATCGGGGAGGCTAAGCCTCTGGTAAACCATAGGAAAACCATAGGAAAATGATAATTTAATGAGGGGTTATGGTGGTTTAATGGAATTTAATGGGATATACCCTCCGGTAAACATACCAAAATCCATGGAAAATCACAATTTTAAAGATGGGTAAATCAACTATAGATTCTGCTGAAACGTGTTATTTTCAGTTTGTTGAAAGTGAAAAATCTTGGCAGAAACAGACAGGAATGGACAATATCATTCTACAATAAGTTGAAGTGGGGTGGGGTGGGGTGGGGTGGGGTTAATAGCAACCGTGTCTATGGCTACGTTACATGATCTTCACTTGCACTTCATGCTACGCTATATGATCTTCACTTGCACTTCATGCTACGCTACATGATCTTCACTTGCACTTCATGCTACGCTACATGATCTTCACTTGCACTTCATGCTACGCTATATGATCTTCACTTGCACTTCATGCTACGCTACATGATCTTCACTTGCACTTCATGCTACGCTACATGATCTTCACTTGCACTTCATGCTACGCTACATGATCTTCACTTGCACTTCATGCTACGCTACATGATCTTCACTTGCACTTCATGCTACGCTACATGATCTTCACTTGCACTTCATGCTACGCTATATGATCTTCACTTGCACTTCATGCTACGCTATCTTCACTTGCACTTCATGCTACGCTACATGATCTTCACTTGCACTTCATGCTACGCTACATGATCTTCACTTGCACTTCATGCTACGCTACATGATCTTCACTTGCACTTCATGCTACGCTACATGATCTTCACTTGCACTTCATGCTACGCTACATGATCTTCACTTGCACTTCATGCTACGCTATATGATCTTCACTTGCACTTCATGAGTGCCGTGCGAAACATTTCTTTGTAAACCATAGTGCTGGGGAATTCCAACGCACAGAAAGATTTCGAAACAGAGCCTTGAGTGTTCACACAGGCACCATTGACAGCTGCTGGACGCAAATGAAAACTTATATTCCAAAGTCCCTCAGCTCTCAGTCAAAACAAATACCTTTGCGTATCCGCAGTTGGCAATGGAGATTCACACATGCTGAGCATGATAACTTGTTTCAACTGTGTGGCACTCAAGTGGCCAAGTTGTAGGCAAGACAAGTCAGCGAGTAAAAAACGCACGCCGCTGTGGAAATAGACACATCGGCTCCCAGAGATGCATCCGTGGAGGTAACGGCATTTTGACAAAATTTGCTTGCCGCTGAGGTAAAACACGCAAACAAAAAGAAAACACAACCAGAATTAGACATTTTTCATCATCGCCAGAGACAAAATCAGTGGTAAATCCCAGTGTTGGTCATAAGTGCCGAGACGTGAATTGCTAACGCCTACACGTTCCATTCCCGACCCGGCGGGATGTTTATGTCAAGAAACTTCCTGTAAGAACTGGGGTCGTATGTTTTGTACTGAACAAACAAGCAACATGCAAGACATTGGGAAGGGGCCGTAAAATTCTGGACCCCAAGTTTGGTTTCCAAGTAAGAATACAATTTCAATTCAAAATCATGCTTTCTCATTATTATCAACATGGCTGAGTGGCACAACATGACCCAAGACGAGTGGAACCTTTTACCAATCGTCGCAGGTGATTGGGACTGGCAGTGGTAGTGCTGCCATGCTTAGTGCCAGGGGCACTCAGGCGGGGTCGGCCGGGTCGTTCCCAGGCCCATGAATTTCATGGTGCCAATGTCCTCCGTTGGATATACAACGTGGCCCCCAAGATTCACAGGTTTATAGCAGGTTATTGAGGATTTATCTTGTATATAATATATATATATATATATGCACAATATGCAGTTATTACAAGTGGGGAAACAGCCACTTTGTATGATATCTTCTCAAAAATCCACACGATGGTTGGTTTAATCACCCCTTTACAATGGCCATGGTATCAAACATGGCTGGAAAATCCTTGCACTAGTTCCCTGTGTTTCCCACTGAAATACAAAAAAATGAAACCATTTATATAGTTCAACTTAGTTCCAGAATTCTCTTATTCTCTTATTCAGTTCCATGGATTTTCCCATTGAAACCATGTAGTTCCAGAATTTTCCCAAGAATGCCCAAATCGAAGGCATGTCATTCCGCAACTGTCCCATTGAAATGTCGAGCTGGAAATGTCGAGAATTTCCCCAAAAATTCCAGGACTTTGCTGCGCCTGAGCTCCTCCTGGGCCAGATGTGGACGCGCCCTCAGCGAACGTTCGACAGCGAACGGGCGGAGGTGGTTGGTGCTTGGGAAAGTCCAGTTTGATGGGATATATTGTTGCTAAACCAACAATATCTATGATTCACACACACATATGTATATATATATAAGATATTATATATATATATCTCACTTAACATTTAGAACATTATATATATATATACATATTATGTACAAGAATTTTTTGTTTGAATCCTATAGTTTTTCTAAATCTTGGATTTTCAATCAGATTTTTCTGGGATCGATAAATCCTAATTTCGGTGACCCCATTGAGACAGGGGGTCACCTTCGGGGGGACCTCCTATCGGAACTTGTCACCGATAGAAGCCTGAGACTCAAATGTCACTTTTGACCATATATATATATGTGTAAGGTATGTATATATATATATATATATATATTTACACAAGGTATGTATAATGTGTATGTGTGTATATATATATATAAGTATCTAGTGTTAATTATATGATGTCACAATAGTGTAGCCAATCTGACGGAAAGGATCTTGTTGATGAATCAAGGGGAAGCGGCCAACCATGGCTATTGTTATTTTAAGGACCTGTATGGAGGGTTTCAAAGGTGCTTCGATGGTCAGCATTGACGATCACTCCGTTTGGTTGTTGAGCAACTGAGTCATGTTGTGCTTCTATGTGATGGTAGCATTCTACAAGTCAAGTTTGATGGGGCAATTCTTGCCACTTACTAGCTGGCAGTGTTGCAGGTGCCCGGATCTTTCAAAATAATAGTTGACACTTAAAATATACTAAGACAAAAACTCCCGTAAACAACTAGGGTAAGTGGATGCAAATGCACCAAACTGCTGTAGTTCAGATCCCCAGCGTGTTTCTTTCAGACTGAGGAATGAGCGTGTGGACATTTGGGCTTCTGGCCAGTGTTCCTTGGAACCCTGCTGTGCCAGATGCCGTTGATGAAGAAGAAACATATAGAATTATATATATAATATATATAGACCTTTCAAGTATTCATTAAAATATGAGCAAAAGTACTCAAATGATGAGGTAAAGTATCCACTTTTGTAGGTACTTACCTGGAGGCTCTACGTATATATTCAGTTACCTATCTAAAGAATGTACGACAATGATAGATGGGTATGGGTCAAAATTGGGTACCCCAATACTCAGATCGTTAATACTAAACGTATACTAAAATCTGGTGCCCCTTTTGGGGCTTAAATTTTGACCCATACCCAGATCATGTGTTCATTGTGTGTGACCAGACTTCACAAAGAACCTGACTGGTGATGGCGATGAGTCATTAGAGAGCCCATCACCGAACAAGACTTCCTCTTGTTTTTTCTAGGTTTAATCAACAGAAGTGGTGATGTAGTTAGTGAAAATGGATGGAAATTGGGAGTGAATCGGCAAAACTCGGGATGAAACCAGTCAAAAATGGAGTTCCCACAAGTGGGGGGCACCAATGGGGTCCCCGAATTTGGTTTCGAAACGGGTCAACGGGGTCCGCAGAATTTACCCTGTGTGTTTTGGTGAAACCTGGTGATAAACGATGGAATTTGTAGTTACTAGATTTATTTGTCATTTGATCGTGGTATCCTGGTTTCCTCGTGTCTTAGGTGGATGGTCTTCAATATATGATTGGTAGAATATAGCCCCTTAACGTTGCAGCTTCGGTTTTCAGGTGAGATAGATAGTGGAATTTGCCAGTTTTGTTTGTTGGCATCCACACTCTATGTTTTTGTCTAGGTATATGTTGTATGGGTTTGACTCGGTAAATTGAAAGATTTCTGTAACATGTCAACATGTTCCACTCAAAAACTCAGTATTCCGCGAGTATCTAAGATTAGCCCCATCATGTTTATTTGCAGTCCCCCCATATGAGCGGCTCGAAAGAGCCCATCTCTGGTTGAGCTAGAAGGTTGACATCTGTGGCCAGCGTTCCCCTATTTGATGCTGCTCCTCCCACCGTGTTCATACCCATCTCTGTTGATCGATATCTGCATGTTGATGGATCATATGACCCTTTCTTGTAGATGAAATTCCCCGTTGTGTTGCTTGTGATTTTTATCACCTGACGGCTCTCCAAAGGCTTCATATCTCATGGATCAAGTCAAATCAGCCCTAGCTGTAGCTGTGCAGTTCCCTTCACTGATGAGATCCGCACCAAGTGTCATCCCACTTACTGCAGTGGGTTAGTTCACCCCAGTTTTTTGAGTGGATTAACCCTACATATCCCATCTATACCTGGGGTTATGTCACCCACTTACGAGCTGTGGATGAACCAATTGATGAACCAGTAGATATTAAATTATTAACCCCCACTTATCCCATCACTTCTCCCATCCCACTTCGGGGTTTTTACTCACCTACTTAGCCTTATAGAATTTTGCCACCAGCCGTAGGTTTCTACTTTTTTCTACGCGGCAAGCGGACTCCCTGGCCCTTGGATGAAGCGAAAAAGGCCTTCCTCAATGGCCGGCTGCCCGAGGCCCCGGTGGCAACCTCCCAAGTTCTTCCATCACCGAAACACTATCGAAAACATCAGGTGTAAACGAATTCTTCAACTTAATGTTGAATATTACCTCTATTACCTGCGGTGTTCATTGTAATTTTAGGTGAACATATCTCTTCAGTTAGATCCACAGTATAAGCAATATTGATTGATAATACGTGTATATATATATAAGCATACTGCATACTGTTTGTCATTAAGCAGACATTTAGCAACAATAATTGTAATAACCATAGTAGTAATCATGTAAATATGATATATATATATACCTATTATGTATGCAATATCAGGGGTTTGGTGGCATTTGCCCAGCAATGATTGTGATTTGCATGAACAGAAATGTGAGTTTGCGCCGGACAAAAAAACATCACAAAGCCTTATTCACCCAGCAAAGCATGCAAGAAAACATTGTTTTCATGATTGTACATCTGGGGAACTGACCAACATATCATTTTTGGGAGATCATTGCCGTAGATGGGTTTCACAGGCTTACCCTGGAGGGAGCTGCTGAATCAGTATTCGAAGCAGTTCGCCAAGCGGAGCCAATGGGATACTGTACAACAGCTAGATTATGGTTGAGGAATCGGATCTACAAACAATTGGGACTTGAGCAAGACTAGTGCAATGAGCCTGAATCAGCTTGAACAGCTAGAAGCCAATAGTTTTTTCAGGGACATAACTTAGAGCCATGATATGCCATGATTACCATGTGGTTATTTAACATAGCCATGGAAAATCACAATGTTTTATAGGTGAACCATCTATAAATGGGCCATTTTCCATGGCTATGTTAAATAACCAGAGGGTATCATGGGAAAAATGGGATGAACATGGCATAACATTCCCAGAGCTGAAGATCTCACCTGCAAAGCCTGCAAAGCCCGCTGGATTTTTTTGGGGGGTCAAACGGTCAAACTTAAGAGGCTACCACAGATGTTGCTTCATGTTTAGTAGTTTTTATCCATCACATTTGGGGGTAGTACCCACTGGTTTGACCCAAAGAAATCCAACGAACAACTGGAATGCAGTTGCCCAGTTTCGATCTTGAAGCAGTGTCGATCATCTTGCGAGCAGTGCAGTCTATAGTGCTATGAGGTTAGGTAAGACTTCGAGATTTAAGTTGGCACCAAGAATTTCCACATGAATACCAATTGCAAGAGCTTCTCCGCCACTCAGACCAGCAAGCAAAATCATCCTATGTTTTTTTGATGTAGCCATAGTTAGGTACCTACATTTATCCGAAAAAAACATATACACATTCAATCATCTGGTTGGTGGTTTGGAACATGTTTTATTTTTCCATTCAGTTGTTTTTTTTATCATCCCAACTGATGAACCCCATCATTTTTCAGAGGGGTAGGGCGAAAAACCACCAGCCAGTCATGTATAGAATCAGCTGGGCCATGGCCATTTTGCTAACCTTTGGATGGCTTACTTGGCAGGTGGACTGGAGCATCCTACCACTTCCAGCCCAAGATGCTTGGCTTCCGGTGGCCACTGTTTTTTCATGTTCCATGGTTTTTCCCGTGAAAACAAGGGGATTCCAAGCGTATGGTGTTTTTTCCTTATCAAGAGATTTCTGGAATGATTATAGGTCAGTGGATATCCCCAGCTACAAAAACAAGTTAGCACTTAGGCCACCAAAAAGGGATAGAACCCAGAAGCTGTGGCAGAAGAAGCTGAAACAGCTGCTGCTGTAGCAGCTGTAGAAGAAGCTGAAGCAGCTGCAGAAGATTCTGAAGCTGCAGCAGCTGCAGCCCTTGTTGAACGTAGTCAAGGAATTCAACCTGAAGCAGCTGCAGCCGAAGCTGAAGCAGCTGCACGTGAAGCTGGGGCGGCTGCAGCTAGAGATGAGGTGAAAGATGAGGTGGAGGATGAGGTGGAGGATGAGACTGAATATGTTGAGGTTAATGGTTGCGTCATCATCCCCGATGAGCCAGCGAACAGCGCACCTCCTCCACCTCCAGTCATGGTGGATTCACTCCTCAATGCCATGCAGACCCTTCAAACAGTGGGGAAGGCTCAGACAAGGACTGAAGTTTATCAGAGCCTTGCTCTGGATGTGGCAAACCCAGACACCATTCTGCCCTGTTGGTGTCAGCTTTGCTTGCGGCTTTACATGCGGCTTTACAGGGACCGAAAAGAATGCTTCAGATGCCTTGGAGAGAAGGACAGAAAGCACAGTTGCGGGCTTGGAAAGGTTAGCAATTACTTGGTGAAACCAGGGGCCAACAAGGCACAACTTAGAGGCGAGTTCTCAAAGCACTTCGAAGGGAGTGCCAGGATGACGATGAAGTATGTAAAAACATTGGCTGCATACAGGCAAAGGTAGCTGAGCAGCACAGCAAGAAAATGGAGGACCAGAGAAGAAAGCAGTGCGAGCTTCAGTGGCAGCAGGATATGAACAGGGCAATGCTAGAAGCTCAGGACTGCTTGCACATGGGTTTATACATGGGAAATGAACCGTATAGGAGATATACCATTAATGAAGGGGACGTATTTCTGGGATGGGGGATGCTTGGGGTGTAAAACAAACAGTTAAGGGAGGTATACCCGGGAGACAACGGAATATAATCGCTCAACCACGAACATTTGCATGTTCTAAACGTTCAGACTCAGTGTTCAACAAATGCTGATCACCTTATTCTGAAGCATGAAGTATCCCAGTCTGGGTGTGCCCAACCACCCGGCCCACACCCGTTGTTTTCATTGATATCTTGGATGTGGCCCCCCGCGGACTAGCATCCGCGTCGGCTTGCAATACTGTATACCTGAGTTGAATTTGCAATAATTACCTATGCTGCTTTGCTGACCACGTGACGGGCTCACCCAAGCCTTCTCTCCAAATCATTCCATGGGTTGGCATGGGCCTCTATCTATGTATGCATGTATGCATGTATGCATGTATGCATGTATGCATGTATGCATGTATGCATGTATGCACGTATGCATGTATGCATGTATGCATGTATGCATGTATGCATGTATGCATGTATGCATGTATGCATGTATGCATGTATGCATGTATGTATGTATGTATGTATGTATGGATGGATGGATGGATGTATGTATGTATGTAGGTAAGTAGGTATGTATGTATGTATGTATGTATATACATATATTTATATATATATATATCAATAACAATATATAATATTATTTTCAAGAAATGGGCATATCAATGTTTTTCTTTGATATTGTAATTTCTGTATTGTTTCTTACTTTATTGTTGTTTGTATAATCTTTTTTGATTTTATATTACCCTATTTGGTGTTTTATTCATGGTTATTTTTCTTTGGATTTTAATATTGCCTTATCACTGATCACATTACATAGTTTTGCTTGTCTTTTGTTTTTGACATTTGGTTTTTCATAATATTATAGTTTTTAAATGACAACTATGCAATATGCTTGGGATGAACATCAATAAATATAAAACTTGGAGTACGCTGGGACGATCTCAGGACCTACTGGAAAGCTGTTTGGCTCTCAAGCTGGAGCATCGGCCACCCGCGGGGCATCTCAGGAGATTCCAGGGGAAAATGCCGCCCTTACCGCTTTTATAAATGGGATGCAACAACTCCTGCAACAAAAGCGAAACATATTCACTTAAGTGGATTTTTGTGAGCCAATTTTAAATCTTAAGGATTGTTGGGGGGCTGCAACAAAGAACATGTTGAGACAGCCATGCCTCGCAGGCCACAGCCACGTGGATAAGGCAAAACTATCCATTTCTATCCTATACAAACAACGGTAGAAATATGTACAAACAATGGTTTCCCTTCGATGTTGCCAAGAAATCCAATGATACAACAAGGAATTCATAAGCTCGACTCGGGACCCAGGGAATTGTCAAGTATATGTAATTAATTAGTTGCAGCTATATATATATATATAAATACACACCTAGATCCTCCAAGTGCCCATAAACGTTGGTAAATGTACAAAAACATATGGGTTAATCACTGTTCGCAATTTGAGGTGTAGATCCGTTAGGTTTAGATCCGCTACCTTTCAAATCTCAAAAAATCCCAAAAAAATCCTAGAAGTTCATGTCTCACTGTGGTATCACCAAGAGGCAGCAATGAAGCAAAAGAAACTGCGGGCATGAACGCTTTTTCCTATCAAAGCAATGCGATGTTTTCGGGATAAGCCGTTGCTTTGAACAATGGCAACCAATCTAATGACAAGTGATCCCTGCTAGTTGAAACTGACGATTGAGGGTTCTGAACGTAGCAGTAGGCATGACCTCGGCTCAATTGACACTGACCTTAAGCCCATGCAACAATAGACACCGGCAACAGAAATGCCAAGTAATGACAACTTTCGCACCTGTATATGCAAGAGCATCACCCCTTTAGACACTTGTTGGCCCATTGTGCGACATTTTGAGACATTTTGCAACATTTCGAGCAATTTTGAACAATTTAGGGCAAATTTGAGCAATTTGAAGCAAATTTGAGCCAATTTGAGCCAATTTGAGCAAATTTGAGCCAATTTGAGCAATTTTGAGCAATTTTGAGCAGTTTTGAGCAATTTTGAGCATCTTTGTCGAGAAAGTTTGGGTCATGTCGAGCAATTCTGAACAATTTTTGGAAGCACGATGTCGCATTGTTGACCTTGGACAGTGTTCAGAATGTCTCAATTGAGGCTGCTTTGAGACATCTTACTTTGGCTGAAAAAGCTAGCTGATGTAAACCCCACGGATCTAGACCCTAAAAAAGAGATCAGTGAGTTAAAATTGTCATTCCTTTTTTTTAACGTTTTTGTGTTTAATATAGGCCCATTTAGGGATTTGGAGTGTGTGGGTGTCAACATCTTTGGATCCTGGGAATATGGATCCCGAACTTTCAGTGGTCTCTGCCGCGGTTTTTTCAGGTCCGTGCCTTTTTTGGCGATTGGTCTCTTCAAGTTTGTAGTTGGCACATCAGCAAAAACCTGGCAACGAAAAAGAATAACAATACCTGGTTGGTGGTTTGGAACATATTTTTATTTTCCATATATTGGGAATAATAAACCCAACTGACTAATATTTTTCAGAGGGGTTGAAACCACCAACCAGATAACAATACTATACGACATCCGGACATCCAACATGGGCACAGTGTACAGTACACACATCATGAAACCTTCACGGGGGGACACACCCCAAGATTGGTTTCAACCGACGGCTCACGTTTGTATGAACCCATTTGGGCTCGCGCGTAGAAGATCTCGGCAGGGGATTTCCAAGATTTGTATATATATATATTTACAATATTTTACCGCCTGTTTTCAAACATCTATATAATATCTATGTAACCTAATTGGTGGTTAAAAGAGATAGTCATAAAACAATCATAAACCATCCCCCAGTCATCACCATAAATATATCGGTGGTATAGGTTGCCATTCCTATTTTTGGGTGGTTTATGGCATGGTTTTACCAACATGAACACGTTTTTCAACCATACAGAAATGTTTTGATGATGACTTGGTGCCGAGGCCATGAAGCTGTTGAACTCTGCTGCATTTGAAGGTTCGGATTGGGTGGAGCATCGTAACAAAAACGTGAATCATCCTGATATATCACCATCATCATCATCATCATCATCATCATCCTCCTTATCATCATCATCATCCTCATCCTCATCCTCATCCTCATCCTCATCCTGATCATCAGTTACCAAACGGGAATCAATGGTGGAAAACCCACCATTCATTTCGATGATGTTCGCATTGAAGCATGCATTATTAATAATTTAGTTCGATGAGTTGCCCATTTAGAAACCTCCATTTATAGTGGATCTTTCATTGCAACGTTTTACCAGAGGGTATCCCATTGATTTCGCTCATACCAACGGGATGATTCTCCACTGGACCATGCTTGTTGACTTCAAGGAATCTCGACATTCACAGAAGTCATCATGAGTCGAATTCCGACTCCCCAAACAACAGGTTTGGAGATTGTCAATTTTTCTTTCTCTGCAAATCATGGCATACATGGGTGAACTATGTATAGGCCTTTCACTTTAGTCTTATTAAATATATAGCAACCACATAATCATACTATAATCGTACTATATGCATGGATGGTGCGCATGGTTTTCTTAGGACCACTGCCTCATCGTGGCTCAACCACGAAGTTTTTACGCCTCATCCCATGTTTTGTTCGCAACAGAAGTGCTATGTTCCATATTTTTCGGTGAGTACCACCTTCTCTTGCAAGATGCTGCTCAATCACGCTTTTGCTTCATTATTCATATGATTCCATTTACAGGTGATTGAAGTATTCCCAATATCTTGTTTGTCACTCACAAGTGAGGTTGCGGACCGACATAGGCACAGCCGTTACATAAAGTCCCTTTTTTGGGCAGTATGTTTTCCTAGGAACATAGAAGTATGTAGGATTACCCTCTGGTAATTTAACGTAGCTATTGAAAATGGCCATTGAAATAGTTGATTTTCCCATCAAAAATGGTGGATCTTTCCAGTTCGCTATGTAAGTGTTTACCAGAGGGTATCATATCATATGACACCCCAAAATCCCACTGGACCTGGACCTCCCATGGTTAAGATTCGCCCATGGATTTGTTGTTGGTGGATATTGTGGGTGTCACCGCGGTCACGGGTCACTGGGGGAGCAAAACAAATCATTTTTTCCCGTTGTGCACAAAATGGATGGTTGCATACGCTTATCTTGGTTGGTTGAATATGGCCAAATCATAGTTTATAGCCAGTTATAGACGGTTGGGTTGGTAAAATCTCTCTCCTATTCTAAACAATGTGGGGCAGCCCAGTTTTAATTCATATATATTTTTTTAGCTATATGTATCATGTACCATAGTTATTTTATGTTCACCAACTTAGCTATCTTGGTGCCCCACTTAGCTACTTATGTCCCTTCATCCATGGAGGTGATCTCAACCAATCAGCCCCTTTCGATGCACAGGAGTACCCCGGCGGAGCTGGGAAGACTCCTCAGGTGGGGAAAACCGTTTTTTTTCAAGGTATAGACTTCAGTATATTGGCAAGCTTTTGGACCCTGAATATTGATAATATTGATCTACGAATGCTTCAACATGGATGAGGTTGATGTGATGATTTTGCCCGTAGCCATTGTCAGACATCGGGGTATATCTCCCCATTTGTTGGAGAAGTCCAACTGAATTCCCAGTTATTTGTTCTTTGTTTGTTGTTTTAGCAAGAAGACTTTTATGGAACCTCGTCAAGGTGGGTTGAATTTGGCACTTTGGGAGATTTTGTTTTGAGAAAATGAGAAGGGTTGGAGGGAAATCATCTCGAAACATCAAAAGATCATACATGCTTTTAAAACCCATCATGCCATAATGG